ACCCTGTCTCAAAAAAAAAGAAAAAAATTTTTATTATTTTTAATTATGTATGTGTGTGAGGGTCTGTGTTTCTGAGTTCAGGCACTGCGGAAGCCAGAGTCAGTGGGTCCCTTGTGAGTACAGGTGGTCGTGAGCTGTCTGATGTGGGTGTTGGGAACGGAATTCAGGTCCTCTAGACCAGTGCATGCTCTAACTGCAGAACTCTCTCTCAGGTGTCCCCAGGTGCTTATTTTTAAAGCTTTCTATTTTTTTTTCTGTGAGCCCATTTTTCCTGCAAATGAAATAAAATTACTCTTACAATTAATTTTATAAAAATTCCATTATAAGGGTGAGTTGTTAACACTATTCATTTTTCCACACAACACTTGGTCCACATAAGCACACAGAACTCTCTGGTTCTGTGCTCTTGCATATTTACAAAACTCTTCACTGCATTAATTTTCTGACCTTGGAAGATTCCCCCACCCCCATTAATTTTAACAGAAGTTGTAGAATTGAGTTTCATTGACCTGTCCAGGGCCTGTGTTCATACCTAACAAATTGGCGTGGCCAAGGGGATGTATGACATGATTTGGCCCACCCTTGAATCCTGTGTGAAGCTGGAATCAGATCTGGACTCTTGAGAACTACGTGGGGGAAAATGAGGAAGAGCTGACAGATAGGACACACACGCACCTTTAATCCAAACACGTGGGAGGTGGAAGCAGGAACATCAGGAGTTCAAGGACCTCCTGGGCTACAGGAAATTAACCAGTCTAAAAGGAACAGAGCTCACACCTTTAATCCCAGCACTAGGGAGGTGGAGATGGGAAGGGATATGGCTGGGCTGAGAGAGGAAAATAAGGCAGGAGGAGAAAGGAGCTCAATCCCCTTTGGTCTGAGAATTTCGTAGAGGTAAGAACTAGTGGCTGGCTGCTTTACTTCTCTGATCTTTGAGCTTTCGCCCCCTAATCTGACTCCAGGTTTTTATTATTAAGACCAACTAGATTCGTGTTACAACTGATTTCTGGAAGGCAATCAGATACTTGCACTGGAAGTAGAGAAGAAAATAGAAATTAACGAAAGGACAGAGGGAGGATTCCATGTGCAGAATATCTATTTAAAAGCACTAGACATGCATTTATTACCAAATTTTGTTTGGACTACAACCTACAAAATAAGTATCATTTTAGAGGGGAACACAGACTAAGAATGGTCAGTAGATTACATTCTAACTTACAGACCAAGTCTTGCCAAATACAAATAAGTCAAAGTAATTTTATTTTAACTCATCAGTTCATAGAGAAACTAAAAGTCAACAGCAAGAAAAACTACAGAGATGATGTAATTACATGGATACCCAACAATATACTGGGTATTGTTTGAACACAGGGTCATTTAAATCAGGAGGAAATTTAAATTTTTTTCTAGAATCGAATGATGAGAGAGCACAAGTTATAAGTGTTATTCTTCTGCTGTCACTTTAAGAACTAACCACACCCACCCCAGCCACTTCTGACCCCCCCATCTTCTCTTTCTCTCTCTCTCTGTCTCGTGTGTGTGCACGTGTGTGTTTGTTTCGTGTCGTGTGTACGTGTGTCTTTGTTCTCTCTATGTTTGTCTATGTCTCCCTTTAAGTAATAAATGTCTAGCTTTATGTATAGCCTTATGTCCATTTACTCTGCCGTCCACCACATCCAGCTGCCTGACTCTGCCGCTCGCCCAGGGACCCTGTACTGCTCTGGCGGCAGCTTCTGCCTGGCTTGCAGGCCACCCAGGCCATCCCAACATCATATTATTTTTAAAAAGGACAATAATAAGAACTTTTGGATACAGCCAAAGGCAATTAATTCTAAGAAGAAAGTTTATAGAAAGGCTGGACCTGGGCCTAGAAGCAAAAGCCTTTAATCCCAGCTGACCTCCAGGAGTTCAGGACAAGTCTAGTTTACATAGCCAAAGCCAGGGCTACAGAGACCCCCTATCTCAGAATCAAACAAACAAGCAAACTACAGAAAGATCTCAAACAACCTAATAATGCACTTCAGGGTTCTGTTTGTTTGTTTTGGGGGTGGGGGAAGGGCAGAAATTAGTAAACTAGAGACTGAAAGGCAAACAAGTAGAATCAGTCAAAGAGTTGGTCTTTGAAAATAACAATAATGGCAAAATTGTAGCCAAACTTACCAGAAGGAAAAAGAGAAGACCAAATTAATAAAATTAAAGATGAAACAGAGGAGGTTTCTATGGATTCCAGTGAAGTTCAGAGATCACAAGGGAAGATTTTGAAAACATGCTAAAAACCTGGAAAAATCTAAGAGAAATCAATAGAGTTCTAGATCTAAATGAGCTATCATATTTAAATCTAGAGGGCATGTTTAATCAACCTAAACAGGTCCCCAACAATTGAGGTAAAAGCAGTCATAAAAATCGGCCCACAAGGCCCAATCTGTATATCAAAGATTTAAAGACTAAGCTCATGCTCATCCTCCTGAAACTATTCCATGAAATAGAAAAGGAACAAACCCACAAAACTCATTCCAGGAAGCCAGCGTTAAACCACGATATTTGGCTAGCTGTACTAGAAAGTCAGGAGCGAGCTGTTTTTATGTGCCATCTATATAAGCATTGCAGCTAGGATGGGAAGGAAGCCTGGCAGTGGGGAGCCAAGGGAATAATACCACAGAGTCACCGCAAAGTGTAGCAGTTTTCAGCCCGGCTTCAGGGAAGGGTTTTCCAAGGCAAGTGTAACAACCGCTCCAGCAGGAGAGGGTCCCCAGTGAAGTTGTTACAACTCCGCTCTGCTCGGGCAAGTTTCCCCAGCAAAGTCATTGCAGGTCGGCTTCGCTCTGGCTCCTGCAGAAGTTGTTACAGCTGGGCTCAGCTCCAAACTGTCACACCACACAACAAACCTCTCAAACTATTTATTGGAAAGGCTGCCTCACCTGAGAAACAACAGCGAATGGAACAGGGTAGAGACCTTATATAGGACATCTTGGGGTGGGGAGAAGCTTTCCAGAGTGGCTGAGGATTGGTGGACTTTTGTGGTCTGATTCTGGGGCAAGCTCAGGGATTGGTGGCATTTTGAGCTCAGAGACCACAAGGATTAATGGGATTCTGCAGCCTGACTCTGGGGCACTCTCAAGAATTGGTGTGATTTCAAGTCCTGGTCCTGGGGTCAAGTCAGGGTCAGGTATTTTTTTCCTTGGTCCTTTCGTCCTACAATTTGCTAGTTCCAAAGTGGGTCCCCCAAAATAGTAGTGCTGGTGACAATCCCTAAACAGAAGAACTTTGGCTGGGTAAACAGATGGCTAAAAGTGAGATTTTGTTTACCATGAACCTCCTTTAATTCTACCCTCAAAGATTGGCAAGGACATCCAGTTCCAGGCCAATCTGAACAGCCTCTATCAGCAAAAACAAATAAACCCATACTATTTACTGTCATATAAAATCTTCTTGCTTTTCTGCCATTTTGCTTCCCTTCCTGCAGAGATAGTGTGATGGTTAAGTTGTACTTTAAATTTAAATTACTCTGCTCAAGAGATGTATAAAACAAACAAACAAAAATGCCCCTAACCTGTAAGCCCACCTGCCCAAGGATAGATAACTTCCTGGGCTGCTGCCTCAGGATATCTGTTTGCCCCGTGATTGCACAAAGGCATACGTAGCCTGGTGGGTTTTGCCTTTATAAGCCTAATGTAACTTGGTGTCATATTCTGGGAATCCCAGGTATGGTACTGGCTAGTGTTTAATAAAACTTTCATCAAATTTGGCCCAAAATCTGTGGTAATGTTCTTATTCTCGTCCTGTGGGATCGATAATAGCCTTGGCACTTTGATCCCAATATACTTTTCTTTCCAGTCCTGGAGTGGTCTAGTTCAATGGTTTCAGTTGGGAAGCTCCACCCAGTTTCACTCCTCCCATTCCAGACCCTGCCTCTGACGAAGCCTGCCTGCCCTCAACGCCTGCCCTCAACGTCTTCCCCGGAACTGCTCAAGACTGCCTACAGACTGTTTAAGGTGCAGTCCGTAGATCTGCCACGTGCTCTCCTGGCTTCCTGAGAGCCACCCGGGAGTTGCTTCACTGTGCTCTGTTTATTAAATCTGGATTTATTATTTCGGTTGATTTGGCTTATTACATTGGCAGAGGAACCCAATAACCAGGGATCCAATATTTACTAGTTTCACTGTGCCCTGGGTTACACCACCTTCGGTTATTGTGATTGGTGTGTGCTTCCCTGCCAGGGTTCCTGAATTACCAGTCTACTCCGTTTAAAGCCCTGCATGGAAGTAGATTTACTACGCTGACTTAAGTAACACCCGTGAATCTAGCTGATTTCACTAAAAAGCAAGACAAACATCCCAAAGCACAAGAAGTCGACTTTCCAAAATCATCTGCGTTGTTACCGTTTGAAGCAGTTTTTTTTTTCTTTTTTCTTTTTTTCCAGAACCCAACACAAAAACCCGTTACAATTAGCTTAGGTCCGTCGTGCAGATCATGGAGTCGGTGCGGCCACAGCTCCGGTCTTTCCCACGGCTTGGTATCCTTATATCTACTATGCTTTTTCCCCTAGAAATTACAATTTTTATTTCAACAGTTGCAGCGTAACTTTGCCAATCAATTACAGTCATAGACATAAATATGGAAATCATCGTCAAATCTGATGAAATACACAGATGGCTTGGCTTCGACTTGGTGAATTGCCATGGCAACCCTTTTGGAGTCTTCATCTTTGGCATATTCCACGTGTTTGCTTATCAGACATCTGTAAGTTCCAGGTCCACGTCTTTCCTGCGCCCACTATTCCACAAGATACTACATTTCTACATACTACATTTCTGTAGTATATTAATTTTTCCCCTCATGTGAAATGTCTATGGATTCCTTAATAAATTCACAACACGGGTCAAGAGTAATATTTCCAATTTACTGAAGAAACCTGTTCAGGTAGTCAAGATTTGTTTTCAAGGTCCCACCTAGAATAAAAACCGGTGTCCGCTTTTGCTGTGACCGATTAGATTCGCTTTTGCACTTTTGAACTTCTTCGGCTACCGTAGCCGGGCCCTCCACGGATTTGTGCGCCTGCGCGCTGCGGGAAGGCTCTCCATTTCGGCGTGAACCGGGAAGGACGTTGGTGTGGAGGTGAGGCGGACGGCGTCTCAGACCCTGGGGGTTGACAGCTGCGGGGGTCGGCAGTCCCGGGGCGAGGACTCTGATGCGTCCCGCGTCCCAGCCTACCGGGGCCGCGGGCCTCCCTTCCCCGGGGCCGCGCTTGTCCCCACCGGGTCCTCCGGAGGTTGCGGGCCTGACCGGCCCCGGGGGCTCTGACGACCCCTCCGTGTGCCCGTGCGCGCCGCCGGGGCCTTGGAGGAGCCTTGCGGAGCCCCGTGGCTCCCCGGGTGGACGGCCGGGCCCGTCTTCCGCTGTGTTTGGCAGAGGCCAGGGTGACCTTGGTTGGGTCGTCTGACCCGTGGGGCCTGGTGCTCCAGCTGGACGAGGGGCGCCGTCACGGAGGGGACCGAGGCGGGTCAGCCGCCGGCGCAGGCACCGTTGACATCGCTGGTATGTCTGGTTGTGAGAGCAAAACTGAAGCTGGAGACCCCTGGCCTGTGCGTGCGGCTCTGCTGCAGCCCGGGAGTCTGGAGGCCCCAGGCGCCTCCTCGCCTCCAGTCTCCCTATCCCGAGTTGTCGCCCAAGACTTCTCTACGTAGATTCTGAGTAGCAGTAGCGGGATCAGATGGCCTCTCTGGCGGGGGGCACTTGCGTTCCTAGTTTTTGGTCGTGGGTTGCTGGTGGTGAGGGTTACCGTGGCCGTTGTTGCGGATGGTGGAACCGCCTTGCGGGAGGGGTCGGTCACAGTGTAAGGTACAAGCGGTGCGTCGTGCTTGAAGAGGTCCTTCACTTACCCTGTTCTAAGGTTTTCTTTTTGTTGTTTTACGGGTAAAGGACATTCACGACCATGAGTTCCGGTACGTTGCCGAAACCTCAGATGCGTGGTCTTCTGGCCAAGCGCCTGCGGGTTCACATCGTTGGAGCTTTCATCGTGGCCCTGGGAGTGGCTGCTGCCTATAAGGTATGTGTTTGCTGTTTGTGCTTTAGGTCACAAGCTGTTGATTTTAAAAAACTATTTTTACACCGATTAAGGGCTTTTTAAAAAAGAAACTCTGTCTTCACTGTATTGCCTCCAACCTTCTTTGGGCTTCAGTGTGAAGGAGCCACTCAGGCCCCATGTTTGCCTCCTCTTCAAGTGAAGCTGTTAGTTTGCTAGGACTGCTAACCAACAGGCTGAACTAGCTAACTAACTAACAGGAGAACCAGGCTGAGTGGTTTAAACATGGGCATTTGTTTTCTCACAAGTTTGTTTTTTATTTTGAGATAGGGAGTTACTCTGTAGCCATGGCTAGGTCAGGCTGGCTTCCAGCTCATGTACTCTGCCTGCCCCTGTCTCAGTGCTGGGATTAAAAAGCCTGCACCTCCACACGCTCAGTTTTTAAGAGCAGGGGTAATGCCTTCTGGGTCCCTTCTCTTTTGCTGTCGTCTTCACACGATCTTCTGTAACTGACTGATTTCCTATAAAGAGACTAGGTTAGGACCCATGCCATTTTGAACTTCCTTTAAGGCCTTATTTCCAAAGGTCTTGTAAGGTAGAATTTGGTCTATTTGGGGAGAATAAATTCCTGCCTCCAACAGAGCAGATGCTCAGGGGTACAGGGAAAGCAGCTCTCCATTTTGGCAGTTTTGAAGAATTGGCAAGAGTAGCATTTTAACACTGGCCTTGTGTACATCTGAGGGGGTAGTGAAGGGTATCTCTGTGTGGCCTTGGATGGCCTAGAACTTGCTCTGTAGACCACTCCCAGAGATCTGAGGGTGCACAGAATTAGTGTGTCTGCAGCTGATTCTTGGGGGACATTTATCTGCCTGCCTCTCCCTCCCGAGTGCTGGGATGTAAAGGGCCTGACCTGTCTATAGACTGCAATGTTTCTTTCACATACCTTCCCCTTTTACATCAGATTATATTGTTACTTAAGATTCTCTTAAACATTTATTATTGTGCATATTATCATGCTTTTGTAATAAAATCTTGAGAAAGTTGAGAACTATTTTTTTTTTCCCCGAGACAGCATTTCTCTGTGTATCCCTGGCTGTCCAGGAACTGTCTGCAGACCAGGCTGGTCTCAACAACTCAGATCTGCCTTCCTTTGTCTCCTGTATGCCAGGATTAAAGGTGCACACCACACTACCTGGCTAAAATCAGGACTTTAGTAACTTTGATAATTCTGTACTCAGAGATCCGCCCGCCTCTGCCTCCCGAGTGCTGGGATTAAAGGTGTGCACCACCACTGCCCAGCTAACAGATGGAACTTTTTAAAGTCTGTTGCCTTTTTTTTCATTTTTTAAGTGGGGCACTCCATTGTCTGGTGTGTGGCTTGTCAGGTGTAGCAACTTGAGGAGAAAGGGTTTATTTAGCTTACAGGTCCATAGTGAGACCAAGTAGGAATGCAGCTTTACTGGTTTGTTTCTTTTTACATGCTCAGCTACTTTATAAAACCCAAGACCACCTGCCCGTAGACGGCCCTGCCCATTGTAGGCTGGGCTTTCCTACATATATGCCCACAGGTTCCCCTTCCCACGTGTGTCAAGTTAACTGAGCTGACAACCAAGAAACCTGGTGTGATTTATTCCAGATCTGGGGGTCTGAGAGCCAAGGGGCTCCATGGTCTAATGAAAAGCCTGAGGGAGCGGCCTCAGAAGGCTTCAGAAGATACTGAGGAGTCCTCTTGCTGAAAGAAACTGAGAATTCTAATAAGAGGAGGAGCAGTCAAGTCTACTGCTTTACTTCACTTCAGAGAGCATGATTCTGTGCATTTCGTGTAGCGCCTCACTGATGTGGATTGGTACTGGAAATTACTATGTGCAGGATGAGATTGATTTTGGCAAAATACACTAAATAGCGTTCTGTGGAGACTAAATCTTTGCCATGTCCAGACATGGATTTGGATAACCAAATGTCAATCGTGGCTGCTGCTTAGACTTTGATCAGTTGCTGGAACTCCACCTGGTCTCTGAAATAGCCTTCCTTCCGTGCTGATTGTCTATATGCAAGACGAAATCCGACATGAACACACCTCTTCCTAAAGTGTCAGTAATTTCTTTAAAGGCCTTCCTTTGGAATAATCAGTCATCACTTTGAATTCCATTCTCTCCTTTGCAAAATGATTCAGATCTTGTTAAAGTGTAATCACCTATGACATGTTGGCCTTTTCTTATGTCTTTAAATCTGTTTTAGGCTTCTTTAAAATTCACATTCTGCTTAGGTTGAGCCAGGATATGTTACTGTGTCCCAACTGGCAATATTTAGGGTTTGCTAGAGGGAAGGCTATTCATTTATTTTGTACTGTCTTTTAACTATGCACTTATTCCACCAAACACACACACACAAGTACGGATGCACAACCTTGCACAAGAGTAGGGGTAATGTGTCCTAGTGAGCTTCTCACTGTGCAGTTGTAGCTTCTTCCTTTCACTTGTCACCCTTCTTTGTCTTAGGAAATAGATGGCTCAGTAAGCAGTGACTACAAATGTGGTGTTGATTTATTTTGTTTTTATTTCTAGTCTGAAAAATGAGTATGATAATGGGCTATGTTACTTTTCAGTTTGGTGTGGCTGAACCCAGAAAGAAGGCGTATGCAGATTTCTACAGGAAGTACGACTCCATGAAGGACTTCGAAGAGATGAGGAAGGCTGGTATCTTCCAGAGTGCGAAGTGACATCAGAATGTGCAGGTGATCAGTGCCCCAGGTTCTGTCATGGTGGTCTTAGCTAGCCAAGTGTGAGTTATCGTAGCCTTTCTCAGCTGTCAGTCCTTAGAGAACTGTGCTGTGCTGTGCCCTCCTCCCAGACCTTGACGGCTGTGCTCTACTTGTTATGAATTTGACCACGTTATTTGTCTTTCTCTTACTCTATGGGCATATGCATGTGTGTGGGCCTATGCATTTGTGCATGCGTGTGGAAGTTATAGAACAACCACCTGGTGTATGGGTTCGAGGTTTCAGACTTAGGTTGCTAGACGTAGACATTGAGTACCTTAACCCTCTGAGCCATCGTGCTGGCCCTATTTGTCATTTTGTGATTGGCTTACTTCAGTTAGCATAGTATTTTAGCATGTCGGCCACGTCCTCTCTTAAGGCTGAAGATGCTCCACTGTATGTTGTTACTGGGAACTGAACCTGGAGTGTTGTTTATTGCTTGGAAAGCATTGATCACTGACTTTCTGACTATATCCTATCTTTTATGTACTTACACAATATATACATACACATTTTTTTATAGAATACATACAGTAATGCACAATATGTCGTGTCTGTTATATGTAACAGATGTAATACATGATGTACCATGTTATTATATATAATATATATGACATATACATACACACAAATATAATGTATAATGTTTCAAGATGTTTTATTTTTGAGAAATGGCCTTACCAAGTTGTGGAACCTGACTGTGAACTTTTTCGTGAATAGCTGGGATTCTAGGTGTGCGCCACCACGCTTGTCCTGTTGTTTGTATACTAACTCTGTTTATCGGTCTGTCAGTAGACAGTAGGATGTCTGCCTGTCAGCTGCTTATTTTAGCACTTGTTCTCCATAGTGGTTGCTTAGTTACGCTCCCACAGTGCTCAGGGCTTCACTTTCTCCATGTGCTCACTGGCACTTACTGCTTGTTTTCTTTTGACAGTGGCTGTCTTAACTATCTTAAATAGGGTTGACATCCTTCACGGAAGTTTTGATTTGAACCTCCCTAATGATTTGTAGTTTTGAGTGTTGCATGTGCTTATTGGTACTGGGTATATTGGGGATTTTCCCCCTTCATGTGTATGTATGCACTGTGTTTGCATGTGTGTGGGTATGTGGAGGTCCCAGGCTAATGCGGAAAGTGCTCCTGTGTTATTTTCCACCTGACTGAGGCGGGTCTCCGTTGACCCCAGAGCCCTGATGAGGCTAGTAGGTTACTCTGAGGGTGGAGTTACAGGTGAGCTGCTGTGTCTTGTTTGCCATTTACAGAGGTTCTAGGGATCCAAACTGGATTTTGATTTGGTATTTTTGTGCTTTGACCACTTGGCCAGTATATGGACATCTTAATAGGAAGTTTTGTTGTGTCTTTCAACAGTGCTGTGTCCCATTGCTCAAAAATCTGAATAGAATTAATCTTCTTTTATTATTAATGTATTTTGATTTTATACGCCACAACTTTGCAAAACTCATCTAACCTGTTTCTGTGTGTATTATAAGAATTTTCTATATATAAAATGCTACCTACAAAGACAGATTTTACTTCTTTTTGGGTGTATTTTCATTTTCTCAACTAATTTTTCTGACTAGGACTTTTAGTGCTACGTTGAACAGAAGTGGCATCGTCATTTTCTTGAGTCTAATGGGAAAGGTTTCAGTTTCTCTTCCAGCTGATGGTAGCCAAGGTGTGTTGAGATACACTATACTACTTACTATACCTAGTATGTGTCTTTACAGTTTAGAACACTTACAGCCAGATGTGGTAGCAAATGCTTTTAATTCCAGCACTCAGGAGGCAGAGGCAGGCTGATGTCTTGAGTTTGAGGCCAGCCTGGTCTGCATAGCAAGTACCAAGGCAGCCAGGGCTACACAGAGATTTAACTATCTCATCACTCCCACCAAATTAAAAAAAATGTATATATCTCTGTACATAAATCTGTGTCTATAGCTATATAAATAATGTATATGGGTGTTCCTAACTGCTGAGCCATCTCTCCAGCCCCTAGTTTGTTTTTGTTCATTTGTTTGTTTGTATTAAATCATGAAAAAGGTGTTAGATCAGTTTTTTTCCCTACATCTATTGAGATGGTTGTGGAATTTTAAAAAATTTCATTTATGGTGTATCACATCTATTAATTTTTGTTTTTGTTTTTTGTTGTTTTGCTTTGTTTTTCAAGACAGGGTTTCTCTGTGTAGCTCTAGCTGTTCTGGACTAGCTCTGTAGACCACGCTGCCCTCAAACTCACAGAGATCCGCCTGCCTCTACCTCCCTAGTGCTGGGATTAAAGGAGTGCACCACCACTGCCTGGCTGTTAATTTTTATATATTGATTCACCCTTACATTCCAAAAATTAGTCTCTTGGGTTTCATATATAATCAGCCCTGCTAGTGTTGAGGAATTTTGCACTGCTATTTGACTTGAGATCTTTTGTCTGTTTAGTCAGGACAGTGCTGGGTTTAGAATCAATGTGGATGTTTTATTCCCTTATCTGTTTTGGAAGAACTTTAGAAGGATTGGTCTTAATTCTTTAACTTTTGATAAAATTCATCTGCTCCTTGACTTTCCTTTATGAAGTTTTCGATTTGATTCAGTCTTACCATTTTAATAATTTTAGTCTGTTGTTTTTCTAGATTTCTTGAGTTCATGTTGGCAAGTCTTAATAGTCTTCATCTAAGTTACAAGTTCACTTTTTGTATTTTGCTGAACTTTCTCATTTCTCTTGCCATTTTAACTAAAGATTTCTCAATATATTTGACATTTACGAAGAACCAAGATTTTACTTATGTTTACTATTTTGTTAATTTCCTTCCTTTTGGCAGCTTTACTAGATGTTATTAGGTTGTGCATTTGAGCTTTTAACTTTTTCTTGTGACTTATTGATCCATTGGTCTAGAATTTTAAATTCAGTGTATTTGGGGATTTTCTAGTTTGATTAAGTCAGCGTGGTAAGAAGATACTTATCAAACCTCCTGAGATTTGTCAATGCTTGTTTTGCCCTATCATGGTGTCTTGGTTAGGAAAGTTAGTTAGGAAAACATTTAATTGAGTTGGTAGCTTACAGTTTCAGAGATTCAGTCCGTTATCATGGTGGGACATAGTGTGCAGATAGACATGGTGGAGAAGAAGCTGAGAGTTCTCTCTTGATCTGCAGGCAGCAGGAAGAGACAGTTACACTAGGGTTGGCTTGAACATATGAGTCCTCAGAGCCCCACCCCCAGTGACATACTTCCTCCAACAAAGTCACACCTTCTAATAGTGCCACCCCCCATGGACCTATGTGGGCCAGTTTTATTCACACTACCACACATTCTATATTCTGTTATGAGTAGATGCTGATGTATGGTTACAATTATCTCTACTTTCAGCTTTTTATTTCCTCATCTTCTGTCTATATAAAGTAAGTCCTCAACTACTATTATTGAGCTATTTCTCCATTTCTTTTTCTGTATACTTCATGCATTTGGATTTCTCATGTGTATTTTTGATTTCCATGACAACTGGCCCTGTTACCATAATGTGCTTCTTGCAGGTTTTTTTTCTTCCCTTAAGCTGATTTTGTTTGGTATCAGCGTAGCCACTTAGTTTCTACTTGTGGAATATTTTTTCTTTCATTCTCTAGGACCCTAAGGGTAATTTGGTTGGGAAATTTAATTTATGTACATGGAAGTCAGTTATTAGTGTGGAAAAGCATTATTACATTTTTTTTCCTTCTTGGTATGTTTTATGGCTCCCTTTTTATTGCTGTTTAGGAAGGTCTTTTGTATGTATGCTTGCATATGCCTATGAAGAAGTTTCAATAGTTTATTTCCTTTTCTATATGAATTAGTATTTTTAAGTTATGCTGTGGGACACAGAACAGCTCTAACAGGAAACAAATGTATATTCAGCACAAAACATTACCTTGTAATGCCTCCCTTGTTACAGATTGTTACTGATGTCATAGTTACACATTTTTATATATCGTATATTCGTTAACAGATTTATAGTTTGTTCTTCAGTGCCTTTGATTTTTAAATACTATAAAAGGATTTAAGAGCCAGGTGGTGATAGCACATGCCTTTAGCTTTTAATCCCAGCACTTGGGAGGCAGAGGCAGGTAGATCTCTGAGATCTCGGAGAGTTTGAGGCCAGTCTGATCTGCAGAGTGAATTCCAGGACAGCCAGGGCTACACAGAGAAACCCTGTCTTAAAAAAAAACCAAAAAGAAAGAAAGGATTGATGACAGTGAGAGTTAAAAACCAGGATTACAGTACGGCAGACTCAGCCTTTCAGCAGAGCAGTTCCTCTGTGTAGCTTGTAGTGGGAGGGAGACTGCCTGTTCATTCCCAGTGACCCGGCTAGCTTACACCCGAAATAATCACACAAAAACTGTATTGATTAAATCACTGCTTGGCCCATTAGATCTAGCTTCTTATTGGCTAACTAACTCTTACATATTAATTTAACCCAGTTCTATTAATCTGTGTATTGCCACTTGTCAGTGGCTTACCAGCTAAAGTTCCCAGCGTCTGCCTCTGTTGGCTCCATCGCTTCTCCCTGACTCTGCCCTTTTTATCTGAGTAATAGCTAAACCTGCCATGCAGAGGACTGCACAGCCTGGAAATCTCTGTGTATGGCGGCAGTAATCCTCCATGCTTTCCTGCCTGTGCAAGCCTAGTAGACCTGATCCTGTTGCCCAGGCGGGGAGCGCTGAGCCATGGGCATGGTCTCAGCTTTTCTCTTCGGGACCCTGAGTGGGCACAGAAACACCCTGTGCACAGATGCCATTCAAATGCTCCATAGCTGGAGTTTGCGCTGGCAGCACAGTGCAGGAAGCTGCGTTTTAAAACTGCATGGCTTTTTTTCTGCTATGGCTGAATCAGGAAAACCTCTCTTAAAGGAGCCATGCCTCTGCTTGCTTCTATAGCAAGGTTTGTCTTAAAGAGTAGGTCCCTGGCAGTGATCTTCAGTTGTTGCTTACCAAGAAATTTCTAAATCTCTTCCTTTTTGAAGGATGTTTTGGCAGATTTGACAGAATTTTATTTGTTGGGATTTTTCTCACTTTGTAACCCAGTAGTGCTTTGAACTCTGTGCTCCTCCTGCCTCATCCTCCCTAGTGATGGAATTACACAGTGTACGGTTGACAGACCCTCAGGATAGCCTCCAGGAGCCAGGCTTCGAAGCTTCTGCTGAGAAGTGCGTTGGTAGCCTGTGGGCCCTGGACCTCACCAGCTACTTTGACACTTACTTTCACTTTCAAGATTCTGTTTGCCTTTGGTTTTGACAACTTGAAGATAATGTATCAGTGTGGTCGCCAGGCTTATTCCAGTTGCAGTTTCTCTGAGTTCTCTGCTCCCTTCTCTCTGTTGTGAGCCCATGATACTATGTAGGCCCACCTGCTAATTTGTAAGCTCCACCGTTCTCTTTACTATTGCTCTACTTTTTGTTCCAGACTCTTGTCATTTCAGATGACCTGTTCTCTGATTTGCTGGCTGTATCTCCTGCCAACTGGAGTACGCTTTTGAAACTAGTGATCCCTACCAGTTCAATTAGTGTATTTTCAGGACTTCTTATTATTCCCATTTTTCATATTTTTCTGAGGTTTTTACTTGATTGTTCATATTCTTTTGCTCATTGAACATATTTAAAACAGTTGGTTTTTAAAATTTTTCAAGAAAACCAAAGGCCAGGGCTTTTTTGTGGTTGGTTTATGGAGATTCACTTTGGTGATTGAAATGAGCTATGCTCCTCTATAAACTTGCTCTGTAATCTTTTTGTTGAAATTTTAACATTTGGAAAATCTCTCCTGTTGCTTGTGGTGCAGGCTTGTGTAGGAAGGAAGACCTTTATTAGTACACATTGTAGTCTGGAGGCTCAAGTTCCACTTGGTCTGCTAATCCATCTTTAATCTGTCCATGATGTGCCCTGGACCAGTTTACCTATATACACAGCTGTCCTAAACCCTCCTTAACTTTTGAGTTTCATTCCTGTTCCTTGGAGCCTTAGCTGTTCTAGTATATTTCTCTGCCTGAAATCTCTGACCCATGGGTGCCTGGAGATCTGTAATCCTCCTGTACACCACAGCATCCACCAGTGTTTTCCTTAGCTAGACAAAACCAGACAAGTAGGTATCACCAGCAGGTCCCACTCTTTACTAGCTTCATTGAGGGAGGAACCAACAATTGGGTAGTTCCTCTGTGCCATATTGCTCTGCACTACACAGAGGAGGCATGGAGGTAAAGGCAGGCAGAAATGTTGCTAAATTTCCTGTTTTGTATAATTTTCTGTTAGTTAGGTGTTCATTCGGTTCCTGTAGCTCAACTGGGGGTTCTGTTCTTAGTTATTTTGGCTCATTTATTGCTTATTCAGTCAGGTGAGGTGGGAACCGTCTGAGTTTGTGGGATGCGGTCTTACTGCCATAAAATTTGAAATTATTTGGAATTATCAATTTGCTAGGTTGACATTGACATTACTCTGATAAAACAGCTTTCTTAAAAATACACATTTTAAAGGCACCTTTTAAAGGTATTTATGAATGCTTTTCTGGTTTGGTCTGTCAGAACATGGGGGCCCTCATGCCTCATGGACAGGATAGATTAAGTTTCTGTGTCTAGAGGAAAGACTGAGTGATTTAAGGGTTGTTAAATAGTCAACACCACTGTTCATGCTTTGGAAATCTTATGCTTGTTATTTAATTTTATTCAAGCTTAACAGATGAGCAAAAGAATTTAAATAAAGAGTCTTCAGTTTGGTTCTGTGCTCTGTAAAATGAATTTGATGTGGTGTAGATAATATATATTGTTCTTTAATGAGCATTTCAACTCCACTAAAATATGTACCTTTTCTAAGATCTAGGATGAGGAAAAGGCCTACTACACTTTTCTATTACAGATGTTTTCAAGGGGATTAAACTTGCTTAATAGAAGGCTTAATTCTGCAATGTTCTATTTCTTGTTATTATCCAAAGTGTCGTAGTGTTCTGTTGCTAGGAAGAGACACCATGACCACAGCAACTCTTAAAGGAAAGCATTTAACTGGGGCTGGCTTACAGTTTGAGGCATGCAGGCAGATATGATGCTGGAGAAGTAGCTGAGAGTTCTGTGTCTGGATTGGCAGGCAGCAGGAACCCCTGGGGGCTTGGCTTGGGCTTCTGAAACCCCAAAATTTGCCCAGTGACAGTTCTTCCAACAAGACCGTACCTTCTAATCCCTCTCAAGTAATGCAGCTCCCTGATGAATGAGCAGAGGGGGCTCATTGTTCTTGTTCAAACCACCACAGTCGCATGCATTAAATATCCAGAGTATTACTGTTGTTTTATCATTATTGTAAAACAAAAACAACTACTTTGTTTTCCACTGACAGGAAAATTAGTAAGAATGATCTTTATCGTGCCATGGACTGTTACTGTCCTTTAGTACTGATATAAAGAGACATAAAAAACATTAGTGAAAGTTAAGTAGCCTAAAGAACAGCATGCAGAAGCCAGAGGAACAAGAATGTTGCTAAAAACAAACAAACAAACAAACAAACAAACAAATAAATAAATAAATAAATAAGAGTAAGTTTGGTCTGCCCAGAATGGAAGCTAGGCAGGGTGGTCAGGGAGCTTGTCATTAGGCAACCATAAAATGGGTGAAGATGAGTGATTATAGACCTCATTGGGATTAATAAAGACTGTTCATCATTAACAATTAGCCATTGTGTTTCTCTCCATAGAATATTTGGATTGCACTCAGAAGATGTTCATCGCTGACCTGTGTTCCCGAACTGTGAAACATGAGTATGTGGGCTAAGGAAAAGTTTATCTCAATAAACAATTAACAGTTATATGACAAGAAGTCTTTGCTTGGTTATTATTATGGATAATTCAGGGTCTTAAAAATCTGACATATACTCTTATATGTCTGTATGAATATAAAGATAGCTTGTCAATTCATTATTTCAACACATGTACAATTGCTTTTATAGTTTGTCATTTCACTGAGGTAGGTCCTTCCCACAGTTACTTGGTGCTGGCTTTGGTCCCTTGGAGTACACAAGAGTAGCTGGACTTCCAGCTTTGAGTGTTCCAGTCCTGTCAACAAATCTGTCTTTGCAGGAGGCAGAGAGGGAGGTGAGTCTCACAGGTTCCAGGTCAGCCAGGGGTAGATGTTCAGGTGCCGTCCTTACAGAAAATCTGTCCTTGGATTTCCTTGAAACTGTTTGGTGGTGCTGCTGTCACCAGAAAGAATAGGTTATTGACACACTGTTAGAAGAATTGCTTTTATTACTGAGCTGTAATATGGATGAGAAGTGGAAATGTGTGTGTAATCTAGAAAAACACTTAATAGTACTGAGTAATGTCTGATGGTCACTAAGAAGTCTGATAAATAAAACTTTTCTCATAAGTATTGTTAGAACATTTCTGTCCATAGATGTTGTTGTGACAAAGTTATATTGTATTGAGTAATGCAATCCTAGTTCTGTTGTTGTTTTGGTGGTAGACATTGGGCCCAGGACCTTTTGCACCCCAAGTAAGGGCTCTAGGACTGCGCTGTATCCCATGTGTAGAGTGAGGAAGCAAGTCTAATAGAAGTTATCCTGACCCTGTTTAACTTGTGCAGACTCGGTGAGTGAGCTGTGTTAAAGTAAGGTATCAGTGAAAACCTGTGAACTAAAAACTCAAAACAGACATTTATCCAGTGATCAGTAATTCAGGAATGTCTTTTATTATTTATATAATTCTTAGCAATATGTAAAATTACCTTAAGCCATATAAGATTCAGTACATATTTACATTCTTAAAAATAATTATTCTTGAGGTTGACAAAAATGTTGCTTTCCTAAATGAGTAACAGACTAATCCAGAGACGATTTTCATGTTTGGCTTGAATTGTCCACTTTTGTTTTCCAGTAGTAGCGATGTAGTGGGGTGTGTGCCCAGCCGACTTGGGAGCTGGAGCTCGGTGGTCTTTAAGATCGTACTGTCGCTTTTCAGCTGAAGGAAACACGTTTCAGGCCCATGCACAGATGCCATCAGCAGATGATGAGACAGCTGGTCTCCAGGTCTTGCATCGAAACCTTTCTTGGATGTTAAATAATTCTTATCAGCCTTTAGGAACTGCCTACACACTTTATCAAGTCAGTACATAGAGAACTACCTGGACTGATGGTATTGTTAGCCTTAATGTTGGAGACAGGTTTTCTCTGTGTAGCTCTGGCTGTCCTGAAACTCGCACTGTAGACCAGACTGGCCTCGAACTCAAGAGATCCACCTGTCTGTGCCTCCCAAGTACTGGGATCAAAGGTGTGTGCCACCACGGTTTGGCAATGTTGGGGTTCTTAACTTACTCCATTTACTAAGGAATTCTGGAACTAAATAAACATACAAGCATTATGTTCTGTTCTTTATGTTCTGTTCTTGTCGGTAGACACAAAATGTTACTTTTTAGCTTGGTAAAACATAGCTTTCCAAAATATACCTGAGCAGTTAATATACATCAGTTTTACTAAAAGAATGGTATTGTAGTTAAATGAAAAAACTCAACAAGTGAAACAACACTCTAGGTATTACAGGGGTGGTGGAGTTTTATTTTGTGTCTATTCTAAGGCCTGTCCACATTTTACTATATAGCAGAACGTTAACATATTGAAATTACAGTGACAATTTCAGCAGATGGCATAGAGAAAAAATGTTTTCTACACATGGTAAGAATACAAAAACAGGATTCTGCTGATCCTTTGTTCCTCTCCCACTTGAATTTTTTTTCTTTGTAACTTGAAGAAGGGGTATCTTTTTCTTTTATCTTTTTGGTCTGGGGAGAAGGTACTATATAAAATCCCTGCACAGTTAGTATGCCTGCTACTATACACGCTGGACTCGTGTCCGTGTTGAATGTGGGAACCCTCTGTTGCTCAGCAATCAAACATCTGCCCTAAGGGGGACTCAGGAAGGGACTCAGGGGAAGCCTTTCCTCAGGGCTCTATTCTTTACCATGGTGAACCTACTAACGAAGACCTGAGCAGAGTGGGGGTCAGCTAAGTAGTGGTAGGTTCTGACAGTGGCAGGGGGCAGCTCCACAGCGACCACAGAACATGCTGTTTGCATGGACGAGCAGCTTGGGGCCAGGTGACAAGATGTTTTTGCGATGTAGTCCACGAGCCTGTTGAACTGTTGCTCTGACAGTCTCTCCCGGGCACCATCCGTCTGCGGTCCAGAAACACAGGTTTGTTAATGGTCACCAATCTTTGTGAGTCATTGAAAACAAAACTATTTTCCTGGGTATACTTGTTCATAGTGTCTCCTAGGTCATCTAGTGAGCTATTCTGTTGGCATCTGAGATAAAGCAATATCTGCAGATTTACATGTGTAACCAGATCTCCATGAGGCTATATACCCTGCTTAGAATAAACAGCTCATTTTGCATACAGTTTCCGTGTTTAAAGTTAACCATTGGATGGTACTCATTAACATCTGTCATTGCTTTTTACCAAGCAGCCCAGGAGCAAAGAAGCAAAGTCCCCTGTGCTTAAATGTAATAAGTATGCAACTCAGCATCCCAAAATAAAAGTTGCCCTGGTTCGCAGAGCCTCCTCAGTTTGTCAGAAGGCAGGGACGAGGATTTCATCCACACCAGAGCATTTTTACAAAACAAACTCCTACCTTTTTGAACTGTAACATTTTCTGCTTTTATAAATACTAGGATTTAAAGCCAGAAAAAATAGAAAAGCTGGGCAGAGGAAGGGGAAAATTTTATGGCAAAAAGGGAGGATGCAAACTACATTTATAGTTTATAAAAGTCTGGCTTGTCTTCAGTGGAATTCAAGAACAGAGAGATAAACTACCAAGTTCCTAAGTGAGACAGTCTAAGGACTGAGATAGATAAACTACTAAGTTCCTAAGTGAGACGGTCTGAGGAAGCACCCATCAAAGGCAGTCAGGACTATAAATTCTTATCCTAAAGTCCCACGGTTATCTAGTGTGCAGATCAAGTTGAGTAGGGAATTGGCAGAGCTGACCACTGGTCGGTAGAATCTGTGTATGTGTGTAAGACCTCCTGAATACTGGCAAGGATTCTGAAAGAATTAGAAACATCTTAATAGGGGTGTTTTGGTTCTCGGAGTTGTGGTAATGTAAAGAATTTAAACAGGGCCCAGAAAAAGAAGTAGTTAAAAGTATAAAAAGTTGTAAAAAGCTATAGAAAACAGGTAATAAAGGGGCCTGCCAGAGGAGTACATTAAGGCTTGTGTTATTGTTTGGTCTTATATTTTTCAGCCTGAGAAAGAAAAGGAAAGCCTTTAAGATTCACTGACAGACGAAAGCTGTGCACCACCAGGCAGAGGCCAGAGCTGTGATGATATCATTGATGGGGCCAGAGTTCAGCTGGAGAGTTTGGAATATACAAAAGGCTTAATTGCTCCTCCTGAACAGCAGCAGGAAAGCCTGTGTTGTGAAAGGAACCTGGCCAAGGAATAAATTGACCTCCTGACTCATTTTGAGCCTCTCTTAGGAGATTTTAATAATGTGCCAGGCATATTAAGCAATTATCCCTAAAAAATGACTGCATTTAACCAAGAAAAGCAAAGCTGATTTAAAAAAAAATCCAAAACCTGCCATATTTGAATATGCTCAATGATGTCATCTACAAATTAATTCCTTCCAAAATTCAAAGGAGTTTTGTTTCTAGCCTCTAAGGTAAAGGACACTTTATAGAGCTTGAGATACTGCGTTTGGTTTTCACAGCAGAAGGCTTCCTGACCAGGCTTAGGTCAGATGGCGTTGGTCTTGCAGCTCCAGTTTTCTCCCTTTGGGGAGGGTTAGTGTTACGTGGTGAAGGGAAGACCACAAAGCAATACAGAGGAAGTACATGTGGAGCGTGAAGCACTGCGTGTCTGCTCCCTGCACAGTACCAGGTAGAGGCGTGTGAACCTGCTTATTTCATGGCTGTCTTGGACTGCTTTGTGTTTCTGCCTCTGACTGCCGTTCCTTTTTCCCTCAACAGCAGTAGGTCTTGATGCTCCCATCTCATAGTTTGCTGAGTTCATTGCCTTAGCCTTCAGCTTCTACACATGCCAATTGGTTACCATAAAAGCAACAGGTCTCACGCCCCAATCCTCAAACAGAAGTGCAAACGAGGATGAGAATTAGATAGCAGTACAACATGAGTCTGATAGCTGAAGATCTGAAATAATTCTATGCCAACTAAGAAAAATACTGGTCATAGATATTTCTTGGGGCTTTGAGGTTTCTCCAGGACTGAGGACTTGAAGACAATGCTACTGTCTTTTGCCAAATTCTGTAGCCAGATCACTGCTGCTTTGTTGTCAACTGGATCAGAAGATTTCTGGCAGATCTAATAAAGTCAGCCTGGACATCCAACCCCTGTTTATTCCCAGAAAGTCATCAACTGAAAGCAGCAGTGTGGTCTTAGTGCCAGCCCCAGCTTAAAGCCTGACTGATGACAGTCCAAGAAACAGGAGAGGTCTTAGGAGATGTTGTGGTTGGCTGCTTTTCATCTGCTAGATAATTCTACCCACATAATGTGAGGGAGACAGGATCCCGTATCAGGAAAAATATCATCAAAGAAGGAATTGGGCAGGTCCTGCTGGGGGTGATTCTGTAACCTTGGTTGTCAGTCTTCAATGTCCAGTAAGGACTACTATCTCTATCTTATATCTTCTAAATCAGTAATTAGGGTGTGGCTCAGGCCATCACCTGGGAGGTACACAGGAAGAGAGCCCTTTCCCAGTGGGTGCATCTGCTTATTGTAGGTCGGACTGCAGGAGGCCAGAGCCACTCTGCTCAGGTGGGGCTCACTGCTGCCTCCTGGTGTTCCGGATGCTCTACCTGAGCAACCATTCTAGGTGAGCATTGCCAGGATCCATTTAGGGTCCTGTTCCTCTCCTCAAAAGGGTTCATATGCATAGGGGGATGTGGCCTTCCTAGTTCCTTCTACAATGCCTACCTTGTCTCCTCTACAATCCTCCCTGGCTCTCCTGGTCTCCTAGATGCCTAAGTACCAGTGATCAAGCTACAGCTCAACCCCTTGAAAGCTAGCCCCAGTTGCCCTGTTTTTGGGACTGTACCTCCACATCACAGGCTACTCTTGGTTGCTTGAGCTGCACAGTGAGCAGGTTGTTTTGCTTGGTGTCCTGTGCACAGTCGATCTCTGTGATGGGGAAGGCCTGTTGTTGTGTGTCTTCACTGATGCTTACGACAAAGAGCACTTCTGATGTCAACAGCAAGCACCCTTCATGCTCCTGGCCTGAACCCCTCACCAGAACCACATCGAGAGCCATGTGGACTTCTGGTCTGCCCAGAGACTGAAGCATTTTCCTGTTTAAAAGGAAGAAAGTGGTCAGGAGCCAGCCTGAAAGACAGTCACAACAGCTATCACTGTATATTAATGATCGGGCATGTTCCCCTCAAAACCAAAAGTGAGTCCTTCCCAAAGACAGAGTGCACTATTAACTTTAGCTTGATATTACAGTATTTCTGTATTTGCTACAGCTGGCTAAAAAATATTGTCAGTTCTCAAGTTGATTCTGGTCAGTAGAACCAGCTCCCAGAGAAGAGATTTTCTTATGCTTCATTTAGGTATTTATTTTCCTATCAGAAATGACACCCCCAATTAGAACTCTGATTCCCCAGGGAATTTTGATCTTTGTTGCAGGACCAGACCTAATCCTTAAGAGATCCAAGTAGAGCAGATAAATTTGTTTTTGTCCCTTCTGTTGCCCAGGCTGGCTTTGAATTGACAATCCTGCCTCAGCCTCTTACAGCTATTATGTTCTACCATACCCAGCCTGTGGAGCAGAGTTCTCCATCCATCCTTTCCCTAAAACTGCCCAAGATGCTGGTATCAAAAACAGCTGTTCCTTTGGTCTCCCCAGACACATGCCCATTATCAAGACAGCAAGCCAGGGTCTGTCAACACACAGTGTAAATGTTAACTGAGTAAATAGCTCAAGAATTTTACCAGACATATTTGACATGGCTGTTTGGAGCTTGGTCAGCATGGAGATCTCTTGGTTGATACCGTTGTTTGGGAAGCTGAGAAAGTCCAGCTCCATGTAAAATACCTGTGGTAAGAGAAGCAAAGGAGCTCTGTGTATTCTACAGTAATGTTACCTTATAGCTATCCATAAAATGTTAGATTCAAAATGAGGTCACATCTTTGGGAGTAAGATAGATAACCATTAAACCACTGCTTCCACAGGGGTCACCTAAGACCATCAGACAATACAGATACTTGAATTACGACTCATAGTAGTAGCAAAATTAGTTATGAAGTAGCAACAAAAATAATTTTATCGCTGGGGGTCACCACAACACGAACTGTTTTAAAGGGTCATAGCATTAGGAAGGTTGAGAACCACTAACTTAGAGGAAGCATAATGCTCCTGAGAGAACTGGTCATTGACATTATCTTATATGTCATATAAAACTTAAATGTTTTAAAAGTCACTGTTATTTGGCTTTGCTGCTTAATACAATATTTCTATATGTTATGACTGGCTGAAAAACAAACCCAAAAATGTACAAAAGCACGTGGTTTGCCTAGATGCACTATTTAAATTTAAATGACTTAATCCAGCTGTTAAACAAGATTCTGTATACATTTATGAGTGCTCTTGGGGCCTCTGGTTTATTACATGCTTTCCCTGGTGCCAGTACCAAATGAGGGCACCCAGCAGCAGCCACATAAGCCTCCAAAGAGACTCTCCAGAACCAAAGATGGTACAGTGTGTGTGCTTTCTGAGGGCTTGTAAATGTTTATAAACGAGGCATAGTCATTAGACTAAGAGTTAGTGGTTTGTAAAACCTTCAGTGTGGTAGTAAAAGTTTTACAAGAGTGACGGAAACCAAAAAGGCCATGTGAAGCCCTGCTCTGAGATGCTCTTACATAAGTTCCTAAGCCTGGGAAACATGGAAGAGACAATGGCATTAAAACCCACTCGGGTCTGGAGCAAAAAGAACACTTTTTCTTAATAAGTAAGGGGGAGTGTAACCTTTCTTTCCACCTCTGAGTTGTAGCAGTTTGTACTGTCAGTTTCCCTGGGAGTGGACTGAAGTGGAGAGGGGAGCAGAAGCTCGGCTGCTAGTGTGGTCTCTCAAAGGATGCTCTGGGTATGTACCCTGTCAGAACTGAGGTACAGGATGCCTGCAGTGAAGTGTGTCCTGCTGATTGGCCAGATGCAGACAGAGTATATCTTGTCTGACAAGTGGGTGGCCGCTCCTGTGGTCTGAAATGCCAGTTAACTTGCCTGTTGCATGGCCAAAAGGATGCCATCAAGTTTAAGTAAAAAGGTAAGTCTAGTCATGTTTACTGCAAGGTACTTTAATGTGCTGTGCCAAGAGTGCTTTCTTTCACACCATTTGTTATGCACAGCACACAGGCACAGTTAGGAGATGTCCTGGCACTGCCACAAGCCCTGAATCTCCTGGCATCTGCTTTGGGGAAAAGGATTTTAGCTGGATACCATGTGTCTTTGCTGTCATTGGCTAGGACACTCACTGATGACTCCCAAAGATGAGTGTGCATGCCTTCTCCTGCTCTCCATAGTCACAGGCACAGACGTCTTCCTGACCTGCTTGTTCCAATTTATCATATGAAAAGTAAACATTTCTTTCTTTGCCATACTGTTCAAAACTTCTGACTGACTTTATTAAAGTCTGTTAAGTGTACTGAAAGAGGGGGGCTTGAAATTAGTAACTGATGTTACTAATTGGCAGCAGTCATACTCTACATAAACATATTAGGATATGAAAAAGATAGCTACTAGTTATCCATTTTGTTTTTCACCCCTTTCCCATGTGAAAGACTAGATTCAGAGAATTGAGCAGGAATGTTTATCAATAGAATCTCAGTTGGCCTGTTTTGTTTTTTTTTTTTAACCTACTTACCATAGCCAGTCTGTGACACAAGTTCTGCAGCTCCCCCGATGGGTTTGGTGAAGACCCCCATGATTCCTTTCCCCACACCTGAGATGACACCCTTGGCCTTACGTCCTGCTGAAGCCTGGGTCTCGGATGTTTTCTGGAAGTTCTGCATTGGCTGATCAACTATTCCAGCAATTGCACCTGAAATAACACAAGGTCTCAAGTGAGGACAGTGACTTAAAGTCTTCGATTACGGAAACCTCAATCTGGAACTCAGTTTAGCCTCGACTGAAAAAGAATCTCTGCCCTCATTATAACGTTTTATTGACCAATCTAAGTATATCAAGGAACATTTACAGTAGATATTTTCTTCAAACTACGTTCAGATTGGGTTTGGTTCACAAGTCAGGATCTAGAAACTTGAGACTTCAAAGCTACAGAGAAACCCTGTCTCAGAAAATAATAAAATAACTTCCTTTGGAATGTTATCTGTAGTACACTTTCTTATTGGAACCACCAGCCACAAATAATGACAGAGACTTATTAATTATAAAAGCTTGGCCTTAGCTTAGGCTTGTTCCCAACTAGTTCTTATAACTTAAAATTAACTCATATTTTTAATGTCTGTTCTTCCACGTAGCTCATTACCTCCATAATGCCCACCCTGCTTCCTTTGCGTCTGGTTGGCAACCCCATCTTTCTTCCTAGAGTTCTCCATTAGTAACTCCAGCCTTACTCTCTTTAGCTATTGGCCTTTCAGTTTTCTATCACAGCAGTACACCTGACACAGTACAAATACCCCATAGCAGTTACCCATGTGCCTCTGCAGAAGTAACACATTCTGGGGAGAAATTGTGGCCTTGAGAGCCTGCATAGCCCCTTTCTGTGTGGGGATGGGGACAGGTACCTGTGGAAGTCACAGGAAGGTGTCAGATGTCTTCCTCTAATGCACCTGCCCTTCATTTTGGCTAGACTAGCTGCCCAGTGCTTGTCTCTACCCTTTGTTGCTGGGGTTGCATGTAGTTATGCCCTGCTCCTTTACCTACATGCTGGGAATTCAACCCAGCGACTCAGGATTTCACAGCAACCACTCTTGCTGGCCTGTTTCACCACTCCCTTGACTTAATTATTCTAATAATCCAACATTATCACTGTTAATTTTTACTTAATAAAAGTAATTGTTGACAGATTATTTCTGTTATAGCTAGTCTATTGAGTGTTTATTATGAATTGTACAAAGGCCTCCACCCATATTAGGTCATTTAATCATCACAATTCTATGAGTAAAGCCAACAAACACAGTGAGGTTAAGGAATTTTCCCAAGGTCACACAACTGTTGAGTGGTTGGACCTTGATCTGAGTTTGGGTTATTTGCTTACTGTTCTATCAAACAGGTTCATTTCTCCTTTTCCATACTGAAAAAACTACATTCTTTCTTTCTTTAGCTGAGGTTTGGCTACACTCTTGACTTCGGAACAGCCATGAAAACATTACTGGCTTCACAAATGGTTGCACAGCCTTCCCAGTGCAGCCACCATCTTTTAACTGAACTTGAAGGCAGTTAGAAATGAAAGGCATCCCTCTGCAGCTCTTGCTTATAGGCCTCTACCTTCAGGGGTCAGTGATGAGGTCAGGAAGGGCCTCACAGGTTCTGACTTTCCATGATGTAGCAGAGGGCTCCTTAGCTCAGGAGAGATTGCTTTACATCTGGCAAAAGCACTGCAAATGCACAGTCCCTTGGTGGAAATTTCAGTACATGTCAAATCCCATTATTCCATGTGCCAACAATTCAAAGTCTCTTGGGTAAAAGGAGATTTCCAGGTCTCTGTTAATGACCTGCTAATTCCAAGCTGTATTCCACTGAGCACTGAAACAAAAGACTAGACTAGCTCCTTCAGGTCATATCTTCATAGGCTCCAGGCCGTTAGGTTTTAACAGACATTTAAGCTTATGAATTGACAAACTAAGAATTTGCTGGTGGTGACAGCTTAGGGTAAAGCCACCCAAACCTAAGGAAATAAGTGATGGATGGAGAGGAGATGACAGCTTCCAGCTGGTCCTAAGAGCTGGGCAGGACCCTAGGCAGCTGGTGCTGTCGGTGGCTGGGCAGGTCCTGCAGGTAGCCACAGGGTGGGGGTGGGGCAGGGAGCAGTGCAATGAAGACCCAATGACTGGAGTCTGTTTTGAAACTGGTTTGTAGCCCAGACTGGCTTCCAAATCACTACAGAAGCAAGGATGGCTTTGACTTCCTGATCCTTAATCCTCCACCTAATAGCTAGGATAAATAATTGCAAATACGCCACAAATTGTTGCCAATGTTTCAGGTGAAAATGCCCTTTTCCCAGTTTGGTTTTCATTATAACTGTTGACTCTGAGTTGTGTAGGTGTTTGCCTCATTTTAGGATCTTTCCTCATTTCCCTTCCATGTGCCAGACCTAACCTGGGCAAGGATTGTGCCCTTTATAGCTGATAACATCCACACGGGGTGTTCACTTCTGTCTCCTTCTGATCTCATACTTTCTTCTACTTACTGAAGACTCCAATTGCAGTGGTTTTGATAGAGAAAAGTAGGAACCCTGAACTCCAAGATGAAGTGTAAGTTCCGCCAGTTAGAGAGGAGTTGCAGGTCACTTGTCTTCAGTTCAGTCCCAGACTGCAGTGAGCAGCAGCCACCCTTCATATTGCTCAGGGGCCATCAGAACTCACTGACCATCAGGTGCCAAGGGTCCCTGTTTTGTGCTAATGACCTGGAGAACAGAGGCTGTTTTGATATGAATAGCCATCCCCTGGTGTGTAAACCTGGCAGAGGGAAGCAGCTCCTGGGGGCTTTAGGAGGCCTCTTCATAGGTATGATCCAGTCAAATCCCACAACTGCTAAGTTCTTTACTGTCATATGCTCAAACTGCCCTAAGGTTTTAGGTAGTGGAAACTGATCTCAAGATTTGTCTGTTGGCAACCAGCCTGTGGAGTGGGTGGTCACATGGAGAGCTGTAATATGATGAAGTGAGGTGGTGGGAGGCACCCACGGACTCAGTGCTAGGCCTTAGGCAGCAGGGGAGCAGCCTTTTCTGCACTCTGAGCTGTGGGAGGCCCGTCCTGAAGAAGCAAGGAACTATGGAACTACCCAGTGCTTCCTTCTCTCTTCTGTGACTCCAGGAATCCACAGGGCATTTACTGTCATCTGTTTTGATGGCAGATTTTCACAGAATGCAGCTTTTGTTGTTACTACTCACAACAGGGGTGTAGGCCTAAGCTAGGACACCATGCTGCTGGGGTACCTGCCAGTGACACCCACATAGTGCAGTTGGCATTCCAGCTTGGGGCCAGCTTTTCTTGACAGAACCAAGAGCAAACTGGGAAGCAATTAAACTTGAATCTGTCACTCTGCGAGTCCCAGCTAACTGAAAATCCAACTGCTGGGAGCAGATCTGATGTCCAAGGGCCTCCTTAAGTGCACCTCCTCTGTTGCCCCACCCTGCCTATCATAGGGAAGCCCCAGCCGGCCTCTTCCCAGAGTGTGCCAAGATGGGTGAGACCCAGGACAACTGTATCAGTTTAGTTAGGCAATAGGACCCTTGGCGAGCGGAAGAGGCAGGACTTGGATGTGGAAGTGGTCAGCATTTCCTAGCTTGGGTCCAGGGCACAGAAGCATGCGTGGCACTTTGGGTAAGTGAAGTGAATTTGGTACGTGTAAACAAAGCCAGTGCCAATTTTGCAGGGCCCACAGTTCCCAAATGTAAAACTAAAGCTCGTGCCAAAGCCCTGGTGGCCTCACTGACTTGGAGCCGCATGGCCTGAAGTAGCTTCAGACGTCCTTGGACTTTCAAGTGCTTCACAGCACTCCAGTGTCCCCAAGGAGGCAAAAAAGGGGCACAGTAGGGGAGATGCAGTTTCCCCCTGGAGCTCTCAGCTGTTCATTCTACTGTCCTGATTGGCTCTAAGTGGGGAGCCCTGAGAGGAGGTGACAAGGGGAGAAAGCCACTTAAAATCGAACACCAAGGCTGCTGAGGGGGCGCACAATGACACGTGTGAAAGCACTTGGTCAGCCCTCAAGTGCTCTGTAAATATATCTCAGCGCTGAGTCCGCAGAGAGGGGAAAGTCTGAGAAGCTAGAATTTCAGTCCCTGCTGTGGGCTTCAATGATTATACAACAGTAGCACTGAGCTACATGTGGCAATTTCAAACGCTTTCTGGGGATCAGTTTGAAATGGTGACAAGGAGGCTTGTTTCTCTTCCTCCTGGCACATTTTTGATGTTCTGGAGCCATGCACTAGAGGACAGCTTGTATATTCTGTGTGGCACAGACAGATCCTGGAACCCTTGGAGGAAAGGAAGTCACTTCACCAAGCTGGAGCCGTGCACTGTGAACTCTGAGGAATCCAGAAATGTCTATAGCTCTTGGGGGAGGGGCGATAGGGATTGGAGCTCCTGGGGTCCCAAGCTGGCCAGTGCTGGCTGGCACTGGGTGGTAGGGGTGGGGTGGACACTCAAATCATCCTCAGATGCAGACATGAGCCCACTACCATTGCCAGCACGGCAGAGGACAGGAAGACCTGGGGAGCACAGCAGAGCCTTCTGCCAGAGGGTAAACTTTGAACAGGGAAGCTGGTGGATGGCAGAGCTTCCTTGTGGGAAGAGTATAGCATTCTGGAGTCAGAAGGGAGTCAGGACCAGGATGGAAACAGCTCAGGTCTCTGAGAAGGTGAAGGAGCCCTTGTGCCACAGCAAAGGTGACTCCTAGCTTCAAACAACCCCAGTCCCCACATAGCCACCGTGAGGCCCCCAGGATAACCAACAACATTCCTGTAGTTGCTCAAATGCTGTTCTGAAGTCAGGGCAATATTTACAGTCCCTTGAATTGTAGAACACGACAATTGTGTCTACCCCACACGTGCCCTGTGGCCCCTGCCTGCTCATGGTTTCTTGTAACTGCAGTATCAGCTCCAGTTTACAGACATCTAGGACTAAAGCCCTGAACACCTTGTCTAAGGTCACTAAGAAAGGACTTGGGTAACAGCCTGCAGTCCAGGGCCCTGAGGGACACAGTTCTGTCCACTGTCACCCTACCCTCCACCCTCACCGAGGAGTCCCATGACCACTGGATTGCTGGTTTGCCCAGCACTCATCACAGGGCACTGGCGTCCCCTTCTGAACGTTATCAAACGACAGAATCCCACGCCACTGACTGTTACTGCTTACATAATCTCCAGTAATTCAACCTGTGCTTGTAACATTTTACCGCTTCTCCCACATCCTCGGCCCGCTGAGCTGCTGGGTGAGTAGCTGAGTGGAGATCAGGATGAAGGGAGGAGGAGGTCTTCCAGGCTCATCTCTCCTCCCCCGGGCTCTGCACCTCCATGTCGCTTTGATCCCCACACCCTGCAAACTCCCTTGGATGCATGGGAGGCAGGGCGCCAAGCAGTCCAGCTTTAGAGTCCTTTGTAAGTAAATAAACACAGAGCACCCTTGGAAATCCCAGACCCCGCCCTGCAAGTTTCTAGCTCTGAAGCTTCCTTTTTATAGATTTTTCCAAAGCAACTTATTTTCAAACACTTGATACTTTGAAACACCCACAGCAATCTTCACCTCCAACTGTACCATCTGGCTCCTCGACAAACAATTGCTTTGAGAGGAGCCGATCTGAAATGAATAGATTGAAGGGGAAGCTGGCTCCTCACCACAGTCTACATGGCATGTGTACACTGCCCAAGTTCTGCTCAGACAACAGCACGCAGCATGATTATGGGGGTGAATGCTGTGGCATGGCTGTGGCTACTCCTGAAGGTGTCAGGGGTGTCCTTTGCCCTTACACCAAGCCCATGATAGGCAGGGAAGGACGAGCACAGGCACTGTGCAATGGTAGTCTCTTCCCAGGCAGTCCTGGGACAGCCCTGTTAAGGAGCACAGCTCACTGGAACTGGTCCCATCCTATGCTCCACAGAAGCACTGCAGGCTCTGTGAGCCTCTCTAGGCTCAGCTCTGCCTCTGAAAGGTCATGAACTTCCTAACCACTCCCACGGAGAAGGCACCTTGGCCATTCCCGGGAGAGCTTGCAGAGCTGGGTGAAGATGGGCAGGAGTGCCACAGTCCCTTACCGAGCAGGCTGATGCCCAGCCTGGACAGGCCCTGCCGCAGTCCCTCGCCCAGGCTCTCAGGAAGCTGCCGCCGCCACTCCTCCTGCCGGTTATAGTGCTCTTCATCCAGCGAGAGCCGGTCCATATTTCGGGCCAGGCTGGTGGCCAAGTTGGTGATGGATGTCAAGGTACCTGAGGGCACAAGAGCATGGGTTGATTGACTTGTCACAGACATGGCGGACTTTGGGTGGTAGCCCTGGAGGTTGTAGGGTGGGACAAGGAGAAAGTATACCAGCAGCACTTGAGTCCTTCCTCGATGGCAGAGAAATGCTAGCATCTCTAGTGGGGCAGAGAAGAGACCCCTATGCAGCTAAAAGCTCCACACCCTTCCAATCCAAGTTGAGACTTGGGGAGATACTTTCCAAGTCCTCCATGGGGTCCAATTTTAAAATTTACTTGTGCATGTGCGTGAGTGTGTGCACGTGTGTGTGTGTGTGTGTACGTGTGTGCGCACATGTGTATGTGTGTGCGTGTGTATGTGTGCTAGTGAAGACTGAACCGTGGCCTTGCTTAGGTAAGCATTCTTCTACTGACCACATCCCTGGACTATTTGCCTTTTTGAGCTCATTCTACCTGTTAAGGTTATGTCACTTAGTTTTATAGATTACCAGGAAATGTTCCCACCGTAGGGCTAAAATCACTTGTCTTTTTATGAATTCAGTCTTCTCCTCCCTCCTCTTCTCCTCTTCCGTAAGCTAGATTGGCTTTGGACTTGGGATCGTCCTCAGCAAGCCTGACCACAGCTAGCCATGGCTTCAGTCTTACAGAAGGGAGGTACCAAACTCTTACCATTTGGCATTCTGAGGAAATAACTACTACAGAAAATTTGTGTAGTTTTGGTAATCAATATGTTGACTACTAGAAAAGACAACAAAGGGATCAGAGCAATGATTCTGTTTTCCTAAGAAAGACAACTTCAGTCAAACGCTACAACAAGTGCAGGGGCATCGCAGTCAGCAAAACCAGAAGGAAGACACCATTGGAGAAGAAATGGCATATGCCATTTCTGTAGCCACCATCAACCTGTGGGAGAATACACATGTGCACACATGTGTGCATGTGCACACACACATACATACACATGTACACACACACACACATGCACGTGTGCACACATGCGTGAGCCCCCCCCCCAAGATTTTGTTCAGCTAGAACAAACGTAAAACCCAGTCAGGATGCTAAGTTTACCGGTGAGGTTCAATTAGCAGGTGTCTGTTGTCACACTGTAATAGAAACAAGAGCCCTCAGAGCCTGTGTGGCAGGCGCATGAAGCCCACCAGGCACATAGCTGTGAGTCCCTAGTTAGCTCCCAGGCCTCCGGGATCTGGGGCTGGGGGAGGCTCCCTTTCATTGTCCACGGACTTTGTTTTTATTGCTTTTGCTGTTCTTTTGCCAATCCCCCTCCCACAGCCCCCATCCTCTCTATGGATCATGGGTTCTCATATTTCAAGCTTAAGTCTTCTTCTGAGGCCTTCTAGAGACTTCAGTAACCTGCCCACTCATAACAGAGTTATGGTATTGTCTACAGTAAAATGCCTTTTATGGGCAAGAAGGCCTTTGCCCTGTTTTCTCTGCCTCCTGCTGAGAAGAAAAGGGGACTCAGATGGCCCTTGTTAGTTCCCCAGTCACTGCCAACCTGACCAAAATATCAAGCAAACATTGGATGAAATGCAAACCTTCTCCTGGTGGGAAGCAGCTCAGCCTCCGTGCCTGTGACCTGTGTGGACCACAAGATGGCACTGTGTAAGCAGGGAGCCTCCTCATCGGATGGAGTCCTGCCTTAAGAAAGTTATGACAACTGTATCGACATTTCAAAAATACGATGAGGCAACTGGTGTAGGATTCCTGATGCTGAGCAGAAATCATGGATACTTTCAATATTTCTATATTTATTGCATGGAATAATGGTTGAGCCCATCCAAGTATTCCCAGTGAGAGGTTTAAAATCCTCAAGTTTCTGAAATATTTTTGTACATTACAGGCAAGCAGTGACTTGTTTAAAACACAGAGCAGTATACACAAGTTTTGCTACAAGACCGGCGTTCACAGCAAGCTAACACACCTCAGAAGCTGGAGGCTAAAGAATTGAGAAGCTCGAACACTTGGAAGACAAGACAAAGACTGACGAGGACTCCACAGTTACCTTTGGAAATGTGCTTGACGAATGATGTGGTCCCTCGGGAAACTCCGCTCACAAAGGCCCCTGGGCCTCGTGTCAGTCCCTCGTATGGAAGCCTGAAGAAGTCCGAGATCCCGTTTCCAATGCTTCTCACTAAGCTGGCGGGGCTGCCGAGGATCTCCAGAGACCCCACCACCCAGCCTGCAACACACAAAGGGAAGGAGCTATTGAGACCTTGAGTTCCACTTTCAACATTTGTGGGGCCGCCTGCTTTCCCTAAAGTTCCTCTCACACTAGAACTGATGGTGTCATAAGCTTCTTTGGAGCAAAACATGGGAAATAACTCATTCTCCATGAATTCATAAATGGTGAACTTTCATACTTCATAAATCACAGTGATCCTCTGGCAGCCTTGCAAATGGCTTTAATATGACTTTTGTGTCTAAGCCTCCTGTACCCCTGTAAAGGGAACCATGTGCAGAGAGTAGCCCCCCGCCCCCAGGCAGGCACTCTGGGCTGCAGGTGCTCACAGGCTGGGAGTCCCAACCTGCCAGGGCAGCAGCAGCAGGAGCTGCCTGGTGGGGAGAAGCCAGATGCTAAATAGGGTGTTGCAAAAGGGATGCAAACTCTGCCAAGGATGGAGGAGTTATTTTTAATCTTTCCCAATCCTATCAAGCTGAGTGCTTCTCTTAGAGTGGAGCTGGCGCGAACAAATGCTCCCCTTCAACCCCAGCTTTGGTTGTGTAAACATCAATGACAGGGACACACTGATTAGGTTAGAGAGAGGCAAGTGTTCCCCACCAAAGTCCCAGGAGGGTGGCTTTGGGTTTGGTTTCCTCTTTAAACTCAGGCTCACCAGGAGCTGGCCTGCTCAGTGGCCTGCACAGCTTCTGGCTGTGCTGGGTCCACAGCAGCTGCCTTCCCCTTCGGCCTGGTAGGGGTGGGGGACTGAGGGCCTTTTTACTGGGAAAGCTGTGAGGACAGCACCTATGTGGGAGCTGAAGGACAAGGTGGGTTTCAGTCATAATGGGGAGTGGAGCCACACGGGGAAGACTTTGCTCATGGAATCCTCCAGAGTGCCACCAGCACCTTGCAAATGGACCCTGACCACTGAGATTCTGGGCTCATAGCAGTATGGGTATAGAGGGCAGATGGCAGTCCCACTTGGTGTTGTGGGGTTGTACCTCCCCTGGGGAGAAAGCAGAGGACACTAAGGCTAAGATTATGTCAGTAAGTCACAATCTCAGGCTGATGAGACATGGGAGTAGAGTTTACAATCTAGGTTAGTTTACTTGATCACTGCTCCCCCACCACCACCACCAAAAAAAGCAGGATCATGTGGAATAAGTTATTTCTGAAAGGTACTCTGTGCGAGTTAAAAAAGCAGATTTTTCTTAGTCTAGAATGGTCATAAGGTTCCATTTGAGCTCTGGGTTAGAAACACTGGTTTCCCTTGATGTAGTCAAGGAGAATCCTCATGAGTGCTGCTTCAGATATGGAGATCTGGGAAGGGGGGCATGGCCCAGCCTTGTCTCTTAGCTCCCACCCCCTACTGGGAGTCCTCTCCTGTTCTTCCTAGTCCTAGGAAGGGCGAAGCTGTCGCCCCCTGCTATGTTCAGTGAAACCTGATGCCCCCAGAAGATGGTCTGTGGAGTGAGAAGCATCTAGGAATACTCTTTGTTGACTTTCCCCAAGAGCAGATGAAGCGGTTCCTCTGCATCCACCAGACACAGGACTCTGCAGACACCAAAAGATGTCCAGTCCCTGATGTACAGAGAGTGTGTGCTGGACCTCTTCAGCCTCCAGTATGTGGAAACCCTCTGGATTGTGTAATACTGAGCATAATGCAAAATCTGCATCAAATGTTTTATGCTGAATTTAAAATGTTTATTCTATTTCCTTATTTGTGTGGACGTGGGTGTGCAAAGGCCACAGAACACTTGTGGAGGCCAGGAGACAATTTGTAAGGGTCAGCCCTCTCCTTTCGCCTTCACCACTGGGTCAGCCGCCGGCCATCTTGCTGGCCTTTTTATGCTAAATATTTAAGGGATAACATCGTGGACAAAAGTCTTGTTCACACGTGATCCTTTGGGTATTTTCAGGTTACCGTTGGTTGATCTCAAGACTACAGAAGGCCATCTGCGCATCTTTGTCTTAGTTGTCAGGAAATTTTGTGGATAACCTGATCTACTTAGCCTGATATGAGAGTGAGAGTTAGGTAAGGACCTCGGAAAGTCTCAAGCCCACATGCCTTCCTTTGAATATGTTCACTCATTTCTAGTTAGCAGTCATTTATTTTTAAAGCCTCGTCAAATGACTTCACAAGCTTCCCTAGAAATGAGGTCAGGGTGTTTTCAACTATCCCAGCGAGGAACCTTCTCGAGTCCAGTGGGTGAATGCTGACCCAAATGAGATGGATACACCCTACTTCCTCCCACCCAGCCCTCACCCTCTCTACAGGAATGTGAGTCCCTTCAGCCTGTCAGCCACCCTCACTGTGATCTTTCTATCTTTCACTCCTCCGAAGACTGCTTTCTTCAGAAAACATTCTGACTGACCACAGCGTTTTAGTGACGATATTTCCCACAGCTCTAAAAAATCCAGCTTTGGTATTAGAATTTCTTTCCTTCTATGTATTGAGATTGAAATAATCACAGGATTTTTAAGTGAATTAGAGAAAAGCCCGAGAGAGGGTGACATGAGCTCCCCTAGTAAAACAAAACAGCACTTGGGCTCCAGAGGCCACGGCTGCCTGGGCACAGGCGGTTTGTCCTCCAGCCCAACATCCTAGCTTGATGTCAGACGTGACTGCAGGGAGCCTTCCTCCTTCCTAGGCATTTGATTAGCTCTGCTACAAGCCAATTGGCCAGAAGGGTAAGTCTGGGGTAGTTTGCAGATACACACATTTATTCAGTTTGAAGTATTATAGATTATTTTACAATGACTCCTTAGCAAGGGGAGATGTTTTCTTCACTACTGTGCAAACTATCCAGACAAGTCAGAAAGGCTCTCAGGCAGGAGCTGCCACTGTCCTACAGTGAAGTTAGGAGAGCCCTACTCTCTCTGTGGACTTCACCATGGAGAGGTTTAGTCTCATGCACGGAGCTACCGGCCTCTCGCCGTTTGCTGTCGCAGTCTGAACTGTCTATGGTGACCCTGAGGATGGAGAACAGCGGCTCTTATGTCTACTGCAGAAGACTAATGAAGCCGTGTGGACGCGGCTCTGGACACGACTGCTGGTGACCACGAGGACCAGGCTATCAACCTGGACCTGTCTCAGGGAGACCCAGAGTCAGAAACGCCCTGGAGACGATGGCTGTCAAGTAGTTGAGATCACAGGGAGCCCATTCCTCATCCTTAGCACATAGTACTCCCCATGGGAAATTCCGCCCTCACGTCAGACACCCCGTGCAGGCTCTTTCAGCGCGACGGGAAACAGAACCTCACCTCTCTCCTTGGCCCCTAGCATAAAAGATCCCACAGCCTGCAGCAGGCCCTGCCTGCCACTGAGCAGAGGGCTGGGAAGAGGCTGTGGAGAGCAGAGCCACCCACAGCCTTCTCTGTGCTCTGCTGAGACAGGCAGTGCCTGCTGGGGATGCACAGGGCTCTCTGTACGTGCTTTGACCCCTCTGAACTTCCCACATACACGATCAGTACAGAGAGAAACTGGCCACCTAGAACTGGAAGTCTTTCAGGCCAGGCTGACCTTCCCGGCTGCACTTGTATTCTGAGACAGAGTCTTGTGCCTGCAAGGCATTCACAAATGTGTTTTCTAAATTTGACTAATCTATGTTAGGTAACAGCTAAAAGATTATAACTAAGAGGGCTTGTGAGTCTATTAAGTGCCAAGCAAAATGCCAGGGCTGGCACACTTCAGCTGATCTCAGATGGAAATGCAGACTCAGGCAGGTGTGGCAGTCACCCGAGCCTTACACCGTCAGAGTCCACACATAGCTCTAGTTCTGTTAGTGTGCAGCCTGCATGCATCCCCCTCCCTGCTCCCTGTGCTGTCAGACAGACAGAACCATTTCTGCCCCGATGCTAGCCCACCACAGACCCCTCACTTGCATCCTTACCTGCTCTGAAAAGAGCCCCAGCAGCATAGTGCATGGCCAGTGCGTGCACCAGCTGCCTCGCCGTAGTGAACACTGGTCCCCTTTCAAATACAGAGAAGGACAGAGGGGTGTGGTCGGAGGCAATGTACAGCTTGAGAGAGGCGTGGATGCTGACAAGGAGGTTCACTGGCTGGATGACCAACTTCCGTAGCTTCACCGGGTTCACCAAGGCCCTGGCATGCTGTCTCACCTGCACGGGCAGCACCTGCTCCCCTGCAGAGAGCTGTGCATGGTCACCAGCCACCCTGCTGTGAGGAAGGTAGGTGTCAAATAAAGTTTTGATGTAGTATACAAAGGTGTCCTCCACATAGAGCCGTGCTGGCTTCAGTTCAACAGAGAACTCACTGACATCAAAGAGGAAGTCCGTCCCCTCAGACACAGTGAGGCGAAGTTTGATGAAGCAGTTCTCTTTGTATTCCTCCAAGTCTTTGCTGGAGACCAGGAGACTCTGCACTCTCGAATACCACACTGGTTCTGTCTTCTCTCCTTGGCAGACCAAGACAGCGAAGTGGAAGTTGGATTTGTTATAAAGCTGGTTGTCCAGCTGCAGGTCCCCGAAGTAGACTTCCACACTGAAAAGCTGGAGCAGGGTGGACGGAGGCTCTTCCCCTGGGAGGACACCAGGCACAGGACATACGTGGAGGAAAATGTTGTCCAGAGTGAGCCTTAGAAGCTCAGATGATGCCTTGTGGTGTGTGAGGTCATCAGACACTGCCAGGCTCAGGCGGGTGATGAACGTTTTAAAAGTAACCATCTTCTCCAGAGCTCTAGAAGAAGGGCAAAGCTCGTTAGTGTCTCTTCTTTAAGGTCAGTGCCTCACTGCATACCCCATGATGGGACAGAGTCTCATAAAGACAAATAAGAACTCAACTTTCAGTGCATGTCTGGACAGAACCAGCCATGCTTGGAGATTACTGGGAAACGTTCCCATTGGGACTATTATAAGCTCTTGTCATGTTTTTGTATGTGTTTTCTCTTATCAACACCAGACCCCTCTGCTTTTTTTTTCTCCAAATCCCTCATTTCTATGCACTAATTCTGTTATAATGATCATGGTAGATAGAAAATCAGCAATGCTCTTTATGTTAGAAAAGATGAGCTGAGCAAGAAGAAAGCCCAGTTCAGCCGGACCTACAACCACTGCGCGCAGTGTGCCCTGCCCACCCTGCCCTCACTTCCAGAGCTGAAGAGTCCCTGGTCAGGTCCACGCCCTCTCGGGAACACTCCAACACTCCTCCCTCACCTGTCAAAGCCATCACTCTAGAGTGCCAGGTGCTCCACGATCCCTTCCTCTGCGGTCCTGCCAGTGCTCAAACACGCTGTATCCTCTTCTCAGCAGACACAGCCCTGCTACAGCCTCCCTTCTTCCTTCTCAATCTACTTCCCATTTCTCTAACCCACACATACCACCTCCGATTCTCTCAGTTCTGTTCTCTGAAGCTTGCTGCAAGCTGGTTTATGCTCCCCAATCTGACAAAGTTACCCCTTATCAGGGCCACTAGCACTAAAGCTAAAGCCCCATCTGTGGCTGTTAGCAGCCCCTCTTCCAGGACACACATCCTCCAGGACACACATCCTCCCTCTGTTCTCACAGAACTCTGCTCCCTGCCTCCAGGGACTCCTTCCCCTCCTCTGACTGGAGGAGGATACATCTCTTACCCGCATCTCTCACCGGGTGATGCTCAGACTTAGCACATGGTTTCCTTCCCATCGCCACCGACAAACACCACCCACCAGTGGGTGCTGAGAACCGTCCTGACTCCACTCTTGTGCTCCTAACTGCCTAGGTGACACCGCAACTCACCACGTCTGTAATGGAGCTCTGCTCCTACCCCTCAGTCTACACGGCCTCTCTCATTTCAGTCAATGGCAACTGCATCCAACTAGAGGATCTGAATCCTTCCTGAGGCTTCTATTTCAGTCCCTATCCTAACGACAGGACTCCTTCGGGCTCTCCATAAGAGTATGTCCAGAATCTGACCATAACAGGGCCTCTAGTGTGAACACAGATAGTTAACTGCAGGAGGTTCCTGATTGCTTTTGCCCTCATTTCTCTAGATCTTACTTCAATAAAACAGCCAGTGATCTACACCTTAAGTCTCACATGACCTCTCTGCTTAACATGCGCACCAGGTCCTCACCTCATCAGGGTTAGACTCGTGAGGCACTAAAGCACACATTGCTCCCCTTCCGGCCCTGATCCTCTGGGCTCATGCCTTCTCATCTCACTGGGACGGGAAAGCACTTCCTCCAGCAGATAAAGCCTTGCTGCTTTCAAGACCACACTCAACTGCCAGTCTCTTGAAAAGGCTTCCTTCCAACTAACTTCTTCACACTTCCACTCTCCTTGTCTTCACGCTCTCTCATTTGGCTGTCTTTAACTCTCTAGAGTGCGGGTGATCTTCTACTACACCCATGGGGGGGGGGGGTCTCTGCTCCTGCCTCTCCCGTCTGCCTGTGAGAATGGAATCTTGTAATGGTTCCATCTTTTTTTCTCACTCTCTCCCCATCCCTGGAACAGACCTCACATCTAGTAAGCACGCAGGACCAGAGAAAGCTAAGCCTGGGACAAAGTCAGATGTGGGTTCCGAGTTCTACAGTATCTCAGGCAGGCTGCTTGGATACAGAGATGCGGCTCCTGGCCGCTGCCTATGGGCTGGCACCAGCACCGTGCTCTCAGCTGACATGGGCTGACACGGTAGCGGAAGATTTGTTCTATGTGGTCAGAGAGCACTTCAGGCGCTTAAAGCTATGTTCAGACACAGGAAACCTCTAAAAAGGTGCAGTACATTTAAAAATGTGGTTAGATGCTGAAAAAAGAAAATGGGTCTAGACAGCCATAGAAAAAAATAAATAGTTTAAAAATAATATAGTAAAGTCTTAAGGAAAGAGTAAAAAAAGCCACATAAAGATGGGAGATACACAGGGTGGTTGGATCCTGTATGGTGCTTTGCTGACTTTGAATTTTTTAAATGCCAATGTACAAAAAACAACAGCTGCTGAGAGACACTGGATTATGAGGACTGCTAAATTAAACCAATCTATATATTTTAAGAATGTTTTAATTTCAAAATGAAAGTCAGAAAATATGTTGTGTTATGAGAGGTTTTGCCTTTGTTTCTATAGGAAACAAAAAGTTATGGTTCTCTTCAAAATTAATGAAGAACAGATTTGATTGGGAGAAACCCCCTGAAAATCTTGGCTAGAGACAAGAAGAAAAAAAAACCAAGAAAGACTACAAGACAAGTGATGTATCTGCTGATCCCTCTAATGTGGGAACAGTTCTGAAACTGGATGAGACATGGTAAACCTTGCTGGTTGCAGATTTCTTATGACTTATTATTACATGGTATCCTTTCATATGGCATGGATAGAGATTTATACTATAGTTTGGTTTGATTTATATTATAAATGCGTTTTACCTGCTCAAACACAGAACAACAACTCACCTTTAGCTGATTTCTGTACACTGTACATTCATTCCATGCTTGTGCTAATGCAGATACGTATGTTACCTTTAAAAGTTTATGTGTTTTCAGAATAAAAGAACCAGACACCAATGAAGACAAGTAGTCCAGGTGATCCAGACTCTCAGAATGCCTTTGTTGCTGTTTTCAAAATTCTGCATCCAGAACAACCTCCAAGCTGGAGGCTGAGATGGTCCAGCCTTACAGACTCTTCTAGACAGGACGTCAGATAGGCTCTGCACTTTGCTATCACACAGAGACTGAACAACAAAGGACACAGCTAGTTTTCCCTGGGCTTGATCATTATCTCTATTTTCTCAGGGTCTTCTAAAGATGCCATCACCACCAAACAACAGGAAGTAAGAATATAATGCCCACATTTCCAAGAGGTGGGGTGGGTGTTTTTTGCTCATTCAGCTGGTTATGAATGTTTGTCATCATTTAGGAAAGTTGGTTATAAATTGTTACTGGTCATGATAATGAAGGAAACTAAGCAAGGGAGGTTGGATTCAAGGATCTCTTTCTTAAAGAAAAAGGGGGATATGGAAAGGTTAGGATGAAAGGAAAGATTATTAAATCTACTTTAAAATAAATAGCAACTATTAATTCTCAAATATTTTACATTGGTATGGATTTTTGTATACTGATATAAATTTAAGTTTGTTTTTGTTATAATATATATGTTTCTATTCTTGTTTAACATATTTTACCTATGCAGCTCATTTAAAAATGTAATGAATAATTAAGAAATACAGGTTAATCAGTTACTCACTATAGTAATCAAACTTATAGTCAAGTTGTGTATGTTTTCAGGGTTAAGCAGATATATTTTTAGATAGATAGGTGGTCTTCAAACACTGCAGAGACCTGCAGAATATGGCATCAAGGCTTTTCATGACAACAATATAGGTCTGCAACAGGCAGCACCAATTTACTTTAACAAAGGAGTATGGCCATCAAAGAACCTCCATATGGAATGTGCTCTCATTGTAGCAAAGCTAGCCACTTGCCTTGACCACTATAGCATGCTCTCCAAATTGAACAAGCAGGACACTAAAGAAACTGCAAAGCTTTGCCAAGACAAGGTAGGACATTCCTTCAAAATTCCTGCTTCATAGAAAAGTCTGTCAGATATTCTAGGCCTGCAGGCTGACGATGTTACAGAGAAACCTTAGGTGACTGTCTAGGCAGCAAGCTGCTTCTGTCATTTCTATAGTTTTGAAAGTTGTTTGCTCTGTACTTCCTGTGTACTCAGGTTAGAGTATATCCTTCTTGGGTCACTGATGGAATTAAAGCTTAGTTATAGTTACAGTTTTCTTTGCTACCAAATTCAGAAAAGAAACTCATAAAAGAGGTGTAAAATATATAGGGTTGAGAGACATAAAAGCTTAAGTTGTTTACCTAAGATAATGTTTTGAGGTCTAAAAAGATAGTTTTGGGTTGATAATAAAAGTTAGGATAAAAAATAAACTAGGTAGAAAACTTTGGACTTACCAAGATAGGATAGATAATGGAATATTTTCTCTGAATTTGCCAAATACTAGTGGACTGGACATTGTGAATTTATTTCTTCCTTAATAATTGTTTCTATTGTAGTTTTATTGTGTTAGAGTTAAAACCTTTCCTATTTATTTAGACAAAACCATGAGATGTTGTGGGGTATTTATACACTATGTGAAGTGTACTGCCATGATTGGTTATATAATAATATTGGTATTATATTATACCAATGATGATTGGTATAATAAAAAGTGGAATGGCTAATAACTAGGCAGGGGGTATAGGTGAGACTTCTGGGCAGAGAAAGAAAGGAGGAGGGGGAATCCAGGCTCATGAGAGAGATGCAAGAAGACATGGAATAAGCAGTGTGCGTGGTGTGTGACAATGCAAACTAATAGAAGTATGTTAAGAGCCAGTTAAAAACAAGCCTAAGCTAAGGCCAAGCTTTCATGATTAATACAGTCTCTGTGTGTTAACTGTGAGCTGGAGGCCCAAAGGAAAATCTATCTGTACAGAAATTAATAAATAAGCACCGAAATGTTGGCTTTTCCTCTTCCAATGTTGTCGAAAATCATACTGGTGTCTGTTTACAGAGATGGGACATACAGGTGTCTATTTACACAGATTGAACATATATTCAGCATTCTAATGATGCTTTACATTAGATCATATGCTTCTTCTGGTCCACCGCAACCATTACCACCTATATCCTGTGATATGCCATTTTTGATAGATTTGATTAGCATTTGTATTCTCAATATTTTGTCACTATAAATAACAATGAAATGAACATCTCTGTGTGTATTCTTATGTACTGTTTTCATTATTTTCTGAACTCATACTCTTCCAAGTGGAATTTCTAAACCAGTGGTTATCGCCCGCTGAACACTGCCACCTTTTAATACAGCTCCTCATGTTGTGCTGACTCCAACCATAAAAGTATTTCATTGCTACTTAATTAACTGTAATTTGCTATTGCTATGAATCATTATATAAATATCTGATATGTAGGATATCTGATATGTGACCCCCGTGAAAGGGTCTTTCAACCCCAGGTTGAGAACCACTGTTCTAAACCAAAGGGGTTTTGAAGTTTTTAATATGTAGAAACTGTTCAAGAAAATTGTACCAATTCCTGCTAGTGGCCTTGTCAGAGGAGCAGCAGGTGGCAATTGAAGTTCAAGGTATCAGACCACCAGGAGGAAACTCTCTGGTGGGTGAATTCGTTTAGGCAAGGCCATGGGACTACAGACCCCAGGCTGTCTTTTGCTTCTGCTGTGCCTTTCTTTACATGTTTATTACTGCAATATTCCTCTGGTACCTAGAATGTTGTGAGTGGACTTGGAGAGATCTCCACTGCCTGTAATATACTATGTTTATCTCTTGGAAACATCCCATCCTACTGGGCATTTTTCCTGTGGATTGTCAAGAAGATGATCCCTCCCTAAGATTTACTGTCTAAATTGATAATAATAATGATAGCGTATGCAGAGTTTTCATGAATAAAAATACAAGGAAATGCTACACAACCAGGACCTATGAGTTTCACCCTAGGAGCTGACAGACTGTAGCTCAAGTTAATGGCTAAGGGAGCTGTGCTCACAGATGGCATCGCAGCTGCAGCAAAGCTTTGGAAATAAAGCTGGACTAAGAGTTTTTGTTAAACAGCTCTGAGGTGAAAACCCAAGAAGACAGTCTTAAGTTTTAGAAAGGCACAGAGTTGAATGTGGAACTCACTGAGGTCAGGGAACAAGAATAAAATAGCTCAGCTAACTTTGGCTGACACGCCTTTCTTGCTAGGATTGATTGATTACCAAAAGTGATGATTAATTCCTTATACCCACTTCTGCCCTCAATCTCCTGATATATATATACTATTAATGAGTGGATATGCACCCTAAAGATTTACAGTAGAGCTAATTCTTTTTCATTTATAAAAGTTTAGGTTTGTGATTCCTTTAAGATTCCTTGTGCTTACCTTTCAAGATAATAAAGCCTTTTCTTTGGAACTGCAAAATGCATCCTATCAGTAAAAGACCTGACTGAGAAGAATATCTTGCTTGCCTACATGGTTAAGCTGTAACAAGTTGCTTGGGTATGAATAAATGTGGGTTCTTGGAATAATTTTTTCATCTATAATATGTAAAATGTTTAATCATGTAAGGGAGATGAAAAACATGTCTTTACCTGTATTCATTATAATCATTCACTTAAAAATAGAATATAATCATATTGTTGTTGTAGGAAGCTTCTTGTTTGTTCCCAGCTGCTCCGAACCCAAAGTAACCACACAGAAACTGTGTAAGTTACCATACTGTTTGGCCAATAGCTTAAGCAAATTGCTAGCTAGTTCTTACATCTAGAACTAACCCATTATAATTATTTTATATTTTATCATGAGGCTTGTGGCCTACTGGCAAGGTTCTAGCTGGCAGCTCACATCTTTCCTCTCTGGTGGCTACATGGCGTCTAGTGACTCCACCTTCTCTCTCCCTCCATAGCTCTACTCTGCCATATCACCAGCCAAGGCAGGCCCTTGTGCTCGTACAGCCAGCACCTTAACCTCCGAGCAGCTCCCCAGCCTCCTCGATTCTATATTCATTGTCAGTTTCATGGAAAAGTCTTTTACAGAGTTGTTAAGTGGATTTAGAGATACTAGCTTGCATTTTATACTACAAATAATGGTATCATTATGAAGAGCATATCTTAGCTTGAAAATCTGTTTGCTGAACTTACCATTGAACCAGGAGACTCAAAAAAGATGTTGTTGTTGTTGCTATTATTATTATTATTATTATCTACATATAATAGATATGGAGGAAAAACTTAACTAGATCTTTACTTGTGGATTACATGATAATCAAACACTTCAGTATGTGTGTTTGGACAATAGGAATGATAAACAGTGGTGTATAACATTACAGAACAAAGTTCACTGTGCTCTCTTAGGCAAACAGACCTACCTGTTGGTGCTGGTTAACATGGGTCCTGTTTTTCCTTCTGGGGCTATAGTGATACAGACTGTGCCACACTGATGGGCAATGTCCACGTACACATATCCGAAGCCGGTAAGGAACACAACCTGCCAAAAAATGTTCCAAATCTGATTAAAAAGAAATAAGAGCGGTGTTGGAATGGCTAACTTCAAGTCCTGATTCAACACTGCAAACACTTTCTAACCATGTGTACAGGCTATTTGGTTGACTTGAAAAAAAAATTAAGTCCAGATTTTTCAATATCCAGGCTGTAAGATTCACAGGAAAAGAAATGATGGATGAAGGAGCATGAGTGTCTTCATTCTCTGCTTTTTGGAATTGGCACTAACCCCACGTGGGCTGGAGGCCAGCCCTGGGGCCAGCTTTATGTGTGCATAGGAATGGCTGTGGGAAAAACAACTCAGGACTCTAAATGCAATGTGCAAACCTTACTATTACAGGGACACCCCCCACATGTGGAAAACAAAAATAAACTATCTCCAGAATTATCAGTAAGCCCCCCAAGGTCCCTCATATGACCAGAAACTTCTTCAGGTAAGTTAATCTGTTTAGTATCAAAATTAATTGTTCAACCACGAGAAAGTAGACTAAGAGCTAAAAGTAAGAGCCTCGACCGTCTCAGAAGCCAGGTGCCAGGCCAGCAGAACACAGACTCTCCACATTCAATGCCCCTGATGCCCACGGGATAACGGTCTGAATACAGACCAGAACATCATGTTCACAGCTGAGATTCCCTGAGGGCAGAGGCAAGAACCGAGATCTGCAATAGCACCTGGGTCCAGGCCAGTGAAGAACAGAACAAGACTGACAGCCCTTAGATGAGGAGACAAGCAGTGAGTGCCTTCTAGTGGTGGCACACAAAGGCACCAGGGCGTGTGGATACAGACCATGCGGAAGAGGGATGGACTCGTACTTGGGAGCATGTCAAGGAGGAAAAGGGACCAAGGTGCTGAGCACCAGCAGTGACTGTGATCTCTGCAACTGCAGACATGCTGCTGCTCTGCCTTCCGTGCCAGGGTGGCCACAGCCGAGGAAATCCCTTCACACCCAAGCTCTTTTGTCTGGTGACAAAAGGAAACAGAAACTGACAAAGCGCCCATGACAGTGTCCCCTAAGCGTATTACGGAGCTTCATGTCTACCTGCTGTAGAAAAGAATGCCAGGAGCCTTTCTCTAATTGCCATTACCAATAAGAAACAAGTAAATGGAACTTGTGCTTTTCTGGTTCTTTATCTATGTTACCAAAATGACTATCACATTATATTTAGCAAACAGTATTTTAAAATTATATCAATTTAACTTCCCCAAGCAAACCAGTTCTGTGGTGATGCACAGGAAGACATTCCTTGTGTATTCTCCAGGAACCCATGAGAGGATCTGTGGGTACCAGAGCGACTTATAAAGCACTTCAGTATGATACCCACACTGACATAAGCTATTTGCCAGTAAAGTCTGTATGCTCGCCCCTCCTCCCATCTTCACTGGTCTGTCCCTCAGTAGTCCCCAGTTCCCACAGCAATGCTTGAGTACTCCTGTCCCACCTCAAATTTTCATGCTTTTTAAAGAGTTTAGGTAACCTTATCTTTTATTTCCAGCCTATTCTGGCTACGTTTCAACCAACACAATTGCCCATCCCACTGTCTTAGTGTTGGGGTTCCTATTTCTGTGCTAGACACTACGACCAAAAGCAACTTGTGGGAAAAAGGGTTTATTTCATCTAAATTCCATCAGTGAGGGACGTTAGGGCAGGGACCTGGAGGCAGGAGCTGATGCAGAAGCCATAAAGGGTGCCACTTAGTGGCCTGTTCTCAGCCTACTTTCTTTTTTTTTGAAATATACAGTGTTCTGTCTGCATGTATGCCTGCAGGCCAGAAGAGGGCACCAGATCTCATTACAGATGGTTGTTAACCACCATATGGTTGCTGGGACTTGAACTCAGGACCTCTGGAAGAGCAGTCAGTGCTCTTAACCGTTGAGCCATCTCTTCAGCCCCTCAGCCTGCTTTCTTATAGCCCCAAGACCACCAGTCTAGAGGTGGTACTTCCTACAGTGAGCTTCAATCAAAAGAATGTACCACAGGCTTGCCCAATCCCGTGGAGGGGGGCATTTCTCAAATGAGTTTTCCTCTTCCAAATGGTTAGCTTGCATCAAGTTTATATAAAACTAGCCAGTACATCAGGTAAAGTGTTTTGTTGAGCAATCTTGAAAAACTGAGTCTGATCCCAGAGACCATGTTAAAGTGAAAAATGAAAATCAATTTCAAAAAGTTGTTCTTTGACCTTTCCACTATGCCACAGAATATGTATTCTAATACACACACACACACACACACACACACACACACACACACACAATCAAAAATAAGTAAAATTTTAGCTACTTTTCCTTCCTCAGAGAAAGTCTATTATTAAGGAATGATAATAGACAATAGTGTCCTACTTTTGAAACTTTAAGTTAAAGATCACATAAAGCTTACCTTTCGCAAAGAAGTGTTCGTCTACAATGACCCAAATATACGATAATTAGGCATTTATTTTTTCAGCTGACTTAAACTATGACGCATTTGTCATCAAATATTCATCCCCATACTGGGAAGATTAAACTTGTTACTTATATTCCCATGTATGAAGTACTTATTTTTTGTTACGTTCCTGAGCTGGTTTCACAGAGCCCAGGTGGCCCCACACTTGTTATGCAGCCAAGGACGACTGAGTCCTAATATGCCCAGCTGCTAGTGCTGAGGTTAGGGACACACACCACAGGCCTCTTCTTTTGGGACAGGTTCTCATGTAGCCCAGGCTGGCCTCAGACTGGCTGTGACTGCCTGACCCTCCTTCCACCTTTCAGTGCTGGAATTCTAGCATGCATCAGCACACCCAGCTGTGCTAGTTTCTTTAAAGAGCACCTCAGCTAGGAGCAGGGTGGTATCTACAGAGACTGCCTCTGAAGAGCTGTGCAGGGAGAGGGGACGACTGCAGTCAGCAGTGCTCGGCTCTGTGCTGTCTCTGTGCTGGATTTTGGGTTAAAATTCCCAGTCCCCTTACTCCAGTTTTAGGTGTAGCATCTACACTGAGGTCGTTGTGGCAGACTAATGGCAGTACATCTAGAGCGTCTGAGATAGACATTTATATCAATGTCACGTAAGGTGTTTGCGGTGGGGAAATATTGACACTAATGAAGCAGAGACACAGGTCAGGTGTGCGTGACCTCTGACAATACAGTGGCATCGTGTACAGAGTTTTCAAGTTTGTGGCTCTCTGTTGGTCTGCACCGACAAGCTACCCTTGGCTGCACGCGGTTTGGGAAACAACAGGTGAAGGTTGAGGTGCTTGTCAAGCCCTTTGGACTGAGAAGTTTGGTAAGTGGCCAAAAGTACAGATTTGGAGCTTAGGAGGAATATGTGGGCCAGAGAGGGGTCTGGGAGTGATCAGTTGGTAGACAGTAGCTAATGCTATGAATTTAATCAGATTTTCCAGAAAGGAAAAGGAGAAAGATAAATTTCTAAGATGATTAAAATAGAAAAGCTTGGATAGGGGAAGAGAAGAGAGCAGCACATATTCTGGATATAATTTCACCATTTGGGCTGGAGAGATGGCTCAGAGGTTAAGAGCATTGCCTGCTCTTCCAAAGGTCCTGAGTTCAATTCCCAGCAACCACATTGTGGCTCACAATCATCTGTAATGAGGTCTGGTGCCCTCTTCTGGCCTTTAGGCACACATGTAGACAGAATATTGTATATATAAGAAATAAATACTTAAAAAATAATTTCACCATCTATCCACTTTTTGAAAAACATTCCAGAGATAGCTCTGCTCCTGTCTTGGAAATGGCTGTACTATGCACACACGGGAGGCTCTAGACCAGGTTGCTCAGCAGACACTGGGCAGTGGGTGTCAGTGTGCTGATGTCAGTTCTGGCCCCAACGTGGTGTTGGGCTGTGTGTGAGAAGTAAGCAGGATGCTCCAGTACCCACAGCCCAAGTCTCCACGTCGGCCCCTCACACACAGTCCATTCCAGGACGGAGGCCAGATCCCAGCCGTGCCAGGCCCCCGTGTTCACGGTGACCCCTGTGTATGAACTAAGTGTTATCTGTGTCCTTTGCAGCCCTCAAGGGATGTGTCTCACAATATTTTTATACATGTGACATATTATGTTCAGCATGGTTTAACAGTGCTTTTGGGCACACTGTCTTCACAACTGTGGTACAGATGAAATTACTCTCTGGTGAGTTATGGCATGATTTAACCCAGTTATGAGAAAAGTATTCAGGGGTTCTCCACAGGAGAAACTAGGGTTTTCTCACTTAACATACTTATTATTAGCTTGAATGAATATGTAGAATATATGTTCACCACATCTATAAAGGACATAAAACTACCATGGATACTTAATATGTTAAATGACAGTCCCCACACCCCCCAATTTTTTATACAAAACGTAATTTCAACAAGATAGGCTAGGCCAATATCAACAAGACAATGTATTGGGAATAAATGTAAAATCTTATCATTGGGTTCAAAAAGTCAACTATATAGCAAATCATATGACAAAGACCTGGGGGATGAGGCTGACTCCGAGTTCAGTACTAACTAAGTCTGGACTTGTTAATAGAACACTTAGTCCAGTTCCTGCTTTATTAATAGAAGGACGGGGAGGAATAGCTGGTTAGACCACACCTGGAATACTGTGTGTGTTCTGGCTGCCATCTAAAGAGGGAACGTAACACGTTGTTGCATTCAGACTCTAGGATCACATCTGCTGAGGGAGTGGTTCAAGGTGCCAGAATGTTTGGCTTGGGTAAGGAAGCACTCCGAGATGTTCTGGCTGCCATCAGAAAGGGCAGTGTGAGTGTTCAAAGAGGAAGTGTATTCTGTGATGCCCTGAGCAGTGGTCCTCAGCCCTCCTAACACTGAGCCCCTTACACACGGCTCCTCATGTGTGCTGATCCCCACCCATAAACGTGTTTCTGTTGCTTCTTCATAACTGTAATTTGGCTACTGCTATGAAACACACTGTAAATATCTGTGCTTTCTGATGGTCTTAGGTAACCCCTGTGAAAGGGGGCTGAGAGCCACTGCCCTAGAGGG